TAACAGTGAGGGGATGCCTTCCAAGCCAAAATGCTGCTTGAGATGTCACAGAAATCCTCAAAGATTTCACATGAGTCTGGATTTCTAAGAATCTGATCTGAGGATTCCACAGCAGCCTAGCTTTTCCCAAATGGTGTTGCTTCCACAGATCTGTAGACCATTTTTTTCTGGGGTAGTGGAGGTTTATTTGTAGAAAAATATGTAAAATTTTCAGACCAAAATTCTGAAAACATACTCTTTTCTAGGATTTGCATAGTTCGGAGGGATCTGGACATTTTCAGTTCTGAATTTGTGCAAATGTTTACAAGCGCATCCTGCAAAATCTGATTCCACAGATGACTTGACCACCTGCATAACACAGTTGGAATGAATTTTACTGCATCCAGACATCCAAAAGCCTTGCTCCCTGGAGGAACCCCAAAGGTTTGCACAGGCCATGTTGGCGTGCTCCTGAAGTCAGAGGTTCGGAAGCCCTGATATAGCTGTTGCAGAACACCGGGAACAAAACGGTTGCATATGCCAGCCCATAGTTCAACTGCCAAGGAGGTGAGTCACAGTCCGCCAATGTTTTTCTCTGGAACTGACCCCATAAGTCAGAGCCAAGTCAAACTACAAAGTGATCAGCACTTTACAAGTTTATGCTAGTAGCAACTAGTTGGTTGGGATTGCTTTGTTGTGTAGACGACAACTCCGTGAATGTGCTCTGGGCCATGGAGATCCTGGCACAAGACCGATTGACATGGCGCACGCTGATCCACCAAGGCTGCCAAAGTTCTGAAGCCAGAAGGACAACCGTAGCACAAGAGAAGCGAGCGCTCCGTAAAGCCAGAGTTGCAAACGCTGCAACAGTGGTGCCCACACATGTCTGCCTGACATGTGGCCGAACACTCTGTGCCCGTATTGGCCTTATCAGCCACCTGCAGACACACCGTGGACAGCTCACAACCCGTCAGATGTCAAGGTCCTCATTGAAAACGATGGATGAACATCAACAGACAACTCCGTGAATGTGCTCTGGGCCATGGCTGAAGGAGAGCAGAGCACAGATGTAAAAATCTATTCTGGCATATGATGGGATGATTCTGCTTCTAACCAGGGGGAACTTCTCACAGTACCTTTTCTATTGCCTGCAGAGAAGACAATTTTACGAAAGGATTGCCTTGGCTGCCACCTACTGGCAGAATGGAAAACATGCAGTAAGTATATTGCTTTAAACACTTTGGAAGGCACTCTTACATGTGTATCTCGACAAGGGCTGCGTTACTGTGGTTACAAACTTAGGCACGTTCCCCCAGTCCTCCACATCTGAGCATGGGTGCCCTCCAAGGCCCATCCCTCTCACCTTTAAGAAAAAGATTCATTGCGTGTTGTGCAAGCATCCCGGGGCAGCCTAGCCTCTCGCAGGGTCTCCAGGGCGTTTGCACCCAGGCCCGCTGTGCCTTCCGAGGGGCTGGGGCTTCTGAGATGGGGAAGACCTTCAGGCGAGATAGGCTGGATTGATGGCCAGCATTAGTCCCATGGGCCAGCAGTTCCCCATCTCTGATCTACCAAGGCCCTTCCAGCTCTGCAACTGGAAGGCTGCCACTTCAGTCCTTCTGGCCAGAACCTCTTGGGAAAGGTAGCGGGACAACAAGCAGACTCTGGTGCTCGGAAAGCAATCCCAAGGCAGACTTTAGTTCAGGAGGGTTTAGGCCTGGCTCATGCATTTACTGTGAACTGCGGGAGTTTAATGTACCTTCTGAATCTCACAATACCAAGCTTTGGTGCCACCAGCAGAAAATCTTGCTTCTTGGAAAAACCTTTTGCTGCACAGAACCACTGCTGGCCATTTTCCTATGGAGCAGAGCCATACTCTGGCCACCAGTTCATTGCTCTTTGCAAAAGGAATTACCAAACCAATTTTCTTTAGATGGCCATGTGTCCTCTTTTATAGAAGGCAGTTCTCTATTTGAAAGCGAGAACCTTGTTTAAAGATCTGTCCAGTCCAGGTCAGATTTGATGATAAAGGAGTATAAGAAGGGAGATCAGCAAGGACTGTGAAGTTGTCCATCACTGGGAATCACTCTGCCATCAGAATGTGCAGGCAGACAGACATAGTGGTCACAGTCTTCTTCACTAGGGTCATGTTTTGTATTGGTCGAAATTACAGTAATTCTTAGTGAATTTGCATCTACACATAGAATTTAGTCTATGCAAATCTTATGCAAATTGTGCACTCTTTTGTCTGCTTTGAATGATGAGTTTGCTTTTTGGCCATGAATAACTGCCTTGCGGTGCATTGATTGCTTTCCCCAGGCTCCAAAGGCACCGAAATTACTTTTCAGGGCTGAATTAAAACCACCAATTGTCAATCCAGGATTGCATTCAAGCTTCTATAGCTTCTCTATGGCCTGAAGTGCCTGATCCTGCTAAACCCTGGTTGAAATCTGGATGGGAGACTTGCGTCCTGTACTGAGCGGGCTGCTGGACCCAGTGGCCCGCTGGTCCCCTTTCAACTGCATGATTCTATGATTCCATACACTTTAGCACTGTGCCACCGGTGCATGCTCTGAGGCAGGCATTCAGCTTCAAGAACCTGATTATATGTCCTTATGTATTATACTTACACCCCACCTTTTTCCTGTGAGGAAACCAGCTTCCAAGATCCTCTTCTCCGCCATTTTATCCTCACACCAGCCCTGGACAGTAGGCCAGGAAGAGATTCAGTCACCCGCTCAGTCACCTCTAAGACCGTTAGAGCAGTGTGGCAATGGAACCAACAACCTAGGGAGGTGGTGGGCTCTCCCACACTGGAGGCATTCCAGAGGCAGTTGGACAGCCACCTGAGAGGGAGGGTTTCCCTTGGAGGCCTGCACTGAGCTGGGGCTGGACCCGGTGGCCCTCTGGCCCCTTCCAGCTCTACTGCCCTGTGCTTCTTTGAGTCTCCTGGCGCCAGGCTCTCTCACAATAGACCCACGGCAACATGAGAGGTCCAGCGGCAATAATGTCTCACCAGGAGCCACCAAGAGCCCCTTCAAGCCCACCTCCAGCCTGGCCACGATTCCAGACTCGCTGTCCAACACCCACCAACCACTCACAGCAATGGAGCAGGTTGGACACTCAGAGCCGCTACTGGAGTGCTCACCTAGCTGTCAGAAGCCCCCCTTACCCAGCGTCTGCGCAGGGGCAAGGTCCTCATAAGGAAGAAGGTCCAGCTGTGGCTCACCAGAAGAACCCAGTTGCAGCTGCTGCAGGCAGAACCCTCAGCACATCGACTCACAATCTTGGATGAATGCCTCCTACACAGTGCAGGATCGGGACAGTGTGAGGTGTTGAGGGAGAGTAGTTCAATGCAACCCTGGCCTACGCCGAGCATGTGAGCTGGGTGGTCTCTGGAGGGCTGTGGCACCTGCACTTGCTCTCCCGCAGCCAGTGAGGCTTGCAAGGGACTCCATCCACCTGGTGCTTTGCTCTGAGGATTCCTTGGCGTGAGGCATCAGAGGAGTGTTGAGTGAGCAAGTGATGCCAGCTAATCTCCCCTTGCAGCCTTTGAGCAGCAAGAAAGCAACCGGTGTGGTTTTCGGGTGTTACAGGTGGGCAAATATCTCATGCTAAAGACCTGTCAGAGGTAGGGATGGACAGACATTGTAAAATCTGTTCGGTGTTTCATCAGCTAGATTGGATGGGATTGAATTTTGCGCAAGTATGGAATTGTGCAGATTGCACAAAGTTGTACCCCACAATTAATAAATCTCCTTTGATTTGTGAATCCCTAAAAAACACGCATAGTTTGGTGTTTTTGCCTCTAGGGGAAATGTATCTTTCCAATCAGTGTTTTTATTTATGTATGTTCCTTATTTTTCTGTTATGTTTTTGCATAATAGTGTGGATTTTTAAAAAGCAGTCCCTTGTGGAATCCACAAGTTGGACGCTTGGACATTCAAGCTCATTTGATCAGTTGCAGATTTCTCCACTGCCTCTTGGCAGGGAAGGAGCCAGCTTGTCATTCGAGAAAACTGCATCAGCCATTTCCTTCCTGTGCAGCCTTCCAGAGCCACTGCTCCCATCATGCTTTGCAGAAGGAGCCTCAGAAGGAGGCGCAAGGAGCATGGGCAGCAAGAGCTGCAGGCGTTTGCTGCAATAGGAGAGGACAGCAGCCAGTGGGGCTCCCTGGAGCAACCGCCTGCCCCAAGTCTCATCCTGAGAAGCCTTCAGAATCAACACTGGGGCCCATAATTTTCTCGGTGTGCAAGAGCCACGGGCCTTCCGGATCCACCACCTGACATGTGGCATTCACCCTGCCTCATGGAAGGGCTGGCCCTTGTCTCGTCTCGCTTTGGTTAGGTAAAGCTTTTGGACTTGGGGAGCATAGGACTAGGGGTTCCCAGGCAGCCTACGGGAGAGCATGAGATGTCCAAACAGGGGCTGCTCTGGAAGGAGAGGAAAGCAGCAGCATCACCTATTGTTAAAATGACCGACCATCTGAACAGCCCATGGCTTTTCCCAGAAAGGAAATGCTTGCGCCTGCTTTCGGTCCCTTAAAAACCTCTCTTCTGCTTATGTCAGCAGCTGCCGCTTTTGTCTCCATCTACAATATTTGCTTACCTTGGCCTGGTTGGAAATCCAATAATGATGAAGGTAGAAGTCAAAATATAAGGCTAAGGGTGCAGCCTTATAAATGTTTAGAGAGAAAAACATCTTGGCTGGGGAATGCTGAGAGTTTTAGCATTTTGAGCTGTCTAAACATGCATAGGATTGTGCTTTTAACCAGTTTGTCAGTCATTTGTTATGCCTCTGTAAAGGGAGCTTAGAATTATGTCTATTGGTCACATGCTGCTTTTTCTGGTGTCTGTGGAACTCACAAAAGTTGGAGTATTAAAAGGATGAGGGAAAAATTGAGGGTGAGCTCACTTCTTCAGGGAGGTTTTGGAGTTCCCAGTTACCTCTCCTTCTTGTCACTCTAACAGACATTTCCATTAACAGTAAAATAAAAGTCCATAATCATTCTGATTTTTTGCATGTATCTAAAAAGAGTTTCTTTACACAGTAGAGCAAGCAAAACATTGCATAGTTCCATGTTTTTACACGTTTCCTGTGTCAAAACAGCATCAGTGACGGCACAGGCATTCCCAAGCAAAAAGTCAAAGCTTTGTTACAGTACATACAAAAGGTGTCCGTTCTAAAACCATTGGACAAATGCAGATTTCGGCTGCACTTTTGAGTGTTCCTTTGCTTTGAAAGTCCTAGGAAAGGGGGTTGGGAAGCAGAAGTAGCAAAACACACTGGAAGCAAGTCAGAGGAAACAATAATGAGCAAGTTTTAGTACGGTGGCATTCTGGGGGAGGGGTGTCTTCTGACAGGTGGAGGTGTCACCTTTTCTCACAGTTCTTCCATTGCAAAGTATGATTAAATGATCGCTCCAGCATGTGAGAAAGTGTGAAGCCGCTTAAGACTGGTGGAGGGAAGACGAAAGGCTGTATGAGCTGAGATGGAAAGCAGATGGAAAGAAGACTGGGAGACAATTCCATTTGCCACTTTGTATTTTGTAGACAGACAGTTCAGATCTTTAACACCAATGTGGGAAGCTGTTACGATCTAAAATTGGTCAGGTATGGTATGGTACGATCTAAAATCGGTGTGTAGTTTCCATTGTTTAAGAGCATAACCGTGTTGCTTTATAGTTCACCCCATGCAGGGATGTGAGAAATTATTTTCTATTCGTTTTGGATCAGGACATGCCTGGTTTGCACCTTCAGGACTGAACATGGTCTCACAATCTGTCATCAAGGTCCGTGCATTTCTGAGCTTGCACAGTTATGTGCTGTTTGTATTTGTTAGCATGCAAATGTTTGAAAAATGTGCACAAAATGTGTAAGACTGAAAAAATCACACAGGCACACTTTAACCAGCAGGAGAACAAGGCAGAGTTTTTCAAAGATGTGAACACTGGATGTGTACTTTTAGGAATCACTGGAGAAGACCCTGATGCAGGGAACGATTGAAGGTAAAAGGAGAAGGGGACAGCAGAGGTTGAGGTGGCTAGAAGGAGTCACTGAGGTGGTCGGTGTGGGCTTCGGTGGACTCCGGAGGGATGGTGGAGGGCAAGAGAGCCTGGAGGAATGTTGTCCATGGGGTTGTGAAGGGTCGGACATGACTTAACAACTAAACAAAAAAACTTTTAGGAAAAGTGTTGATGTTTGTGCAAAAGAAAGCAAAACAAAGATTGTGGTCTGATACGAAGACAAAATGGAATGGGCTTCATGGTGGGATTTTGAGAATGTCAGTGCACGTGCAATTTAAACAGGATACCTAAACTGACACAAATTGATTATATTGGCCACTAATATCAGCCTAATATTGTCTATTCTGGTTAGCAGTGGTGTCAGCTTCAGGATCTCAGAAAGAGAGTTTTTCAGCTGCTTAATCCTTTTAAGATGTTTCCATGGGTGTTTTTGCATGCCAAGCTTGTTTCATCATTGACCCATGGGCCCGTTTCCAATATGCAAAGAAAAAGCATGAGTTTCTTCCCCCTCCACCCACCTCAAACACTCTCCTAGCATATGGGAAAGTAGCATCTTAAGGGAAAGGACTTAGCCTACACCTTCCCCTGCCATGCTGCTTTTCTATGCCAAGTGCTGTGTTTTGTTTTGATTTTTACTGAGGATTATTCCCCATGAATTTCATCTTTTCTGATTTGAGGTAGGAATGGATTGAACTATTTCTCAGTTTTGCATTTTTCCAATCTTCCATTTGAGAATCCCTTGCATCCTTAACTTGGCTCATCTTGTGCTTTGAGGATTTTTTTAAAATTCACATGAAAATGCATGTGTTCAGTGCACATTTTGCCTAATGCAGAAATTTTGATGCACTTTTGCCTTCTAAGCACCGTTTTTGCAAGCAATGAGCCTCAGAGAACACATTTTAATGTTATTTTCCCTAACATTGACATTTTTGTACACGTTCTTTGATCAGAGAACCCATCACACAGTTTAGAGAAGCGTGCATTTTGAAGCTTAATTTGAGCTGCAGTTCACAACATGGTTCAGCAGAGCAGACTGAGACAAGTGCACATTAAAATGCAAACTGAATGAATATTGCCTCCACCCCTAATCTGCGGAAGCTAGATGCTTCTGTAGCAGCCTTTCAATCCCAGTTATAAAAGACAAGGCATAGTCAACAAATAGCTCTCCTTTGACATGCATACATATTATGGGTGGGGGGGTTGATTGGGGGATTGGCTTGAAAAGAAATCAATAAGATCACCCTTTCTCAGCCCGTTCTGACTCTCTGCTGAAATAGTTTGGGCCTCATGTCTTGCTTAAAAAAACAAAGCAAAAAAACACTTTACTGTGGTTTCAGCATTGCAAAGTACAACTTCCACATGTTCCCTCACAAAGTGTTGTGTAGCAATTTACTTTAGAACCTATCACAAAATGGTATTTTTTGGTGTATTCCAGTTTTTCTCATGAGATGTTATGGATGTTTGTACTGTTTCATAAAACATGGATTTCAGAAGGGGCAGATCTAGATTTCAGGGGAACTTCAGCAGAATGTCCTTCCATATCACTGGGACTCCTGGTAAACTTTCTGGGCAGCTGGCTGTGGAACCCCTCGCAACAGACTGGGATCTTGGCTTTTTATCCTCCTACTGTGCCCCAGAGCAAGGCTACACTATGGGGATGTAAAATGCTGGCTCCCAATCTTGGCGGCCTGACCTTGATGGGAGCACTGAGAAGAAAATGTTTGCAGAAATATCCAAATCATGCCTCAACCCCAGGCCCTGGTGAGGTCCTGGCAGGGGCCAAGATGCTGCATGCTGTTTCTGGACCTGTTAAAGAATTTCAAAACGGGAGTATTGCTTTGGTCATGGTGGAAGCCTGAAAATCCAGGGGAACAAAAAAGGAAAAATAAGATGGCAGAAATATGAGAGAAAGGGATTTGTCCTGGCATTTCTTGTCAACACCAGCAGCCACATGGTCCAAGAGTCCTCCAACATGGGCAGATTGTAGAGTCTTCCACAAACCTCCTGGCAAGGGAGCTCTGTTGAAGTGCATTGTTAGCACTTCTGTTGCAGAAGAAATATAGCTACTCCCAGGGGAACAGGGTACCAACTCCTGACAACACAAGACCTTCCTAAGTACGATAAGCTGTCCGGGAGATCTACCTTGCACAGAGCATTTCCTGTGCTTCTGCTGGAGTGTTGTCATGTGCAAGAGGCCACTCGGTGGATGAGCACACAGAACAAAATCGATGCCACAAAGACTTGGAAGAGGAAAGAGAAGGCAGATGTTGTGCCAGCAAGATGCTTGTGGGAGTTCAAAAAAGGGTTGATTCATATATGCATGTTCTTGACTCATGGATCCACCACTTGTCTGAGGTGCTCTGCAAAGCAGTACTTGAACCAGGATGGTTAATCCATAGATATGAGTCGCCAAGGTGTTGCAGCCATGGAGGAATAAAGAAGAAAAGCAAACAGGGCACAAGAAAGATCTCAAGAATTTCTTGGCATGCGGCAACAATGACTGGGTCTAATCTCTCTTATAGAGAGAGGAACTTGTGCTGGGCCAAATACATTCCCCCTGGGTGGTCACCTTTTTAAGTGCTTTATATAGGAATGGTCTGAAGCTATGTTTAGCCCTTCTTTAAATAAAAAAGACTTAGTAAAGCTGATGCCACAAACCTATGTGGTATTTTGAGGTCAGGTTGAAATTTGCTGTCTAAATAAAAGCTAGGAACGCCTCATCCAATGATTGTCCCTCATAAGGCAAAGCAGGAAAGAAATATACCCCCATGTCCCATTTATGCTGCCATCTAGAAATTTTGTTTTGAAAAATGCTTTCTGAGATGATGGTGCTCCACGTGAGAACTGCAGCACCCACAAATGCAAATAATTCAAGATGTGGCACCTGTCTCTCTGAGATTCTTGCATTTCCATCCATCTCTGGGGCAAGGCTGCAAAGATCTGGTTACACTCTCATTTCAAGCTGGAAAAGCCAGTGCACAAGTTTTGCCATGTGCTTTTGCTCCTTATAAAAGACAAACATATAACAGAACGTCGTTAAATCATTCTTCCTGGAAGGTGAAAAAGGAACAAAATAGTATCAATAATTAACAGGAGGAGGCAAATACATATTCTTTTGACACAGTATCTTGGAGGTTGTGTGAAAGCCACTGGGCGCTTCAAAGTGCTATGCATCATCTTGAGAGAGATGTGGGCATTTGTCTTCCTGCAGATCACAGTTCCCATTTTCAGAGGCATCGGAGCTTCCAGGGAGGGATTCTGGGGAAGGTGGTTTGTAGAGTATGCAGGCCAGCAGGAAGAAGAGGGATCCCGTCACCTGCAAGAAATGAAGACATCGGGATGGTGAGCCATGCATAGCTTCCACTTGTCTTGGGAAGGACCAGAAGTAAAGATCACTTGCCCTGTGTGACTGGGTGACCTTTCTAGTCACCCAGGACTATAGATAATATTTGAATTGCTTTCACTGCAATACCTCCCACCAGTTGTCTCAATATCCTCCAGGTATTGAGAGGAGGGTATCAGTGGCTACTAGCCTTGCTGAGCAGCAGTGAGCCAAGGTATGCAAAATCTTTCACGATTTCTGTATCAGTATCTGCATCCATCTATTTATAGAGGAACAATCACTCCTGTGAGCCCCAAGAATTCGTTCAGCCCAGACATGGATTCAACACCCCACTCAGAAACAGACCTTAAGTTTTGGTCAGTGTAGCTGCGGTTCATCTAGACCCAGTGACCAGTCCATGTGTCTTTTATTTGTTTGTTTGTTTGTTTGTTTGGGAAACTTCTATGCTGCCCCATTCGCCGAAGCCTCAGGGCGGCTCACAACCATAAATAAGGTCTTCGCCTGTCGCCGAAAAACAAATAACAACAGCGCCAGGCGGACCTCTCTGGGGAGCACATTCCATAGATTGGGCGCCACCTCAGAGAAAGCCCTCCTCTGAGTACTCACCCTCCTAATGTCCTTCACGGAGGGTTCCCGGAGGAGGGCCTCTCCCACTGATCTCAAGGGGCAGGCGAGCATATATGGACGTAAGCGCTCCTTCAGGTAACCAGGACCCAAGCCGTTTAGGGCTTTATAGGTCATCACCAACACCTTGAATTGGGCCCGGACTTCAATGGGAAGCCAGTGAAGCTGACGGAGGACTGGAGTCATGTGAACATAGCGCCCAGTCCCCGTCAGCAGCCTGGCAGCTCTATTTTGAACCAATTGAAGTATCCGGACCGTCTTCAAGGGCAGCCCCACGTAGAGCGCATTACAGAAGTCAAGTTGGGAAGTCACCAACGCGTGTGTCACTGTCGCCAGGCAGTCGTTCTCCAGGTAGGGGCGCAGCTGATGGATCAGCTGAAGCTGAAAGAAAGCGCTCCTTGCCACCACTGTCACCTGAGCTTCCAGTGAAAGCTCTGGGTCAAGGAGCACTCCCAAGCTGCGGACCTTGTCCCTAAGAGGGAGTGCAACCCCATTCAGGACTAGGTTCAATTCACCTTCCCCGAAGCCCGATCCACGAACCAACAGGACCTCCATCTTGTCTGGATTGAGCTTCAGTTTACAAATCTCTTTTACAAACTGGAACAGAGATCTGGAAAAGCTCTCAGCTAAACTTAGCTAAGGGGAGGAGAAAAAAGCAAAATTGGAATTACTTTGTATATAAGACCCGCAATCAGGGTGTATCGGCTCATGGCAAAGTTCTGGTAGACATAGCAAGAGCCTTGTTCACCACACTGGTTCTGCCAGAGGAGACACGACTTGTCAATCATTGATCCAAAAGCAATTGGTCCTGGAATACCACCTAAAATGAGAAAGAGAGAAATGAGAAAGATTTGCTGCCCAAATGACGTATCTCGTACTAAGTATGTCTCTTGCAAAACACAGTGAGAATGTGTGGAATTGCTGCTTCCATGGAACTCAGTGGGGTGCTTTCTGTTGTAATTGTTGAAGGTAGATTTGTTTAGAAAGTCCTTGCCATTGGGAATAGGTCAGCTCCAGTAATCATATGGAAATTATTACTAGCGCAGACTTCGACAATATGCAATTAGATCATTTTATGGTATCTTTAAGACAGTTCCAAGATTAATGTTTTCTGTGCACACATGCACCCTCCTTTGGATAATAGCACATATTGTATGCCTTGGATGAATAAATTTTCCAGTTTGTTCAACTTTGACCCAATGCAGGGTTTTCTGCTCAGCATTTTCAAATGCCTACCGTATCAAAGGCAATCACGCTTACCCAAAGCACAGTGAAGGTAAAGCATTCTTAATCCTGGTTTGATTAATCCAGTTTATGGAGAGCTCCACACTATTGTCTTTTCAGAACAGTGGATGGTACCTTACGACAACTGGAGCAATAGTCATCCTTGCATGGTTACAGTGGATCCACTACCGTTGAGGGACACCTACCATGCACTTCAAGAAGACTTGCACAGAACTCAAGCGGCCCAAAGGAAGGAATCCAATGCGCATCAGTGCTTGGCAGAGTGCTCCAAGTCTCCCTTGAAGTCATATGGTCTTTGAGAGGGCGTGACTGCCACTTGGCGCCACGACCACTGCCACGCCCCATGCTGAACACAAAGCAGCTGTGGCGTAGTCCTTGATGAGGCCTGGCGCTTTCCACGCCAGCTGCTAGACGGTTGGGGTGGGGGTGGGGGTCAGGTTCCCGATTCTCAGTTCTGAGCTCAGACAACACTGCCTCTGGGTACCTGGGCATCCAGTGTCGATCTGGGTATCCAAAGCTTCCTATGACTCCTCAGATGCTGTCTGGGGGGCATAGGATTGCTCCCATATCTGATCACGCATGCTCTTGACTGTGAAGAGTCAAGCCAAAATATGCCAGTTGGTCTATTAGTCCTACCAGAGTTTCCTATGGTCTGTACACCGTTCCAGACTTCTAAAACCTGTGATGCTGTGAGCCGCCCCGAGGCTTCGGCAAGGGGCGGCATAGAAATGTTTTAATAATAAATAAATAAATAAATAAATAAAAACCTATCCACAAGTTACATGGCTTTATGCTAAAGGAGAATTATGCCGTTAAGGAGAGTACGTAAAGAGTAGTTTATTGGGTCTTGGTTTTATACTATACCTAGTGTCCTCACCACAATCCACTGGATTCCCAGAGCAAATGACCGCTGCCTGTCTGAGACACACCTAGGATGCATAAAATAAACATTCAGAAATCATGGCAAGCAGACCAATCTGTAATTCCGTAAAATTCTGCACCTCGGCAATAAAAGGCAACCATTTGGTTCATGTTAAATATCCAGATATAGCACTTGAGATGAATTTAGAAAAATCATGATTGCTCAAAGCTGTGGTAGCCACGCCAGTCCACCAGAAGGAAAGAAACACAAATAAGTCATCCCAGGCATGATCAAAATTCAGAAAGCTGCATCTTTCAAATTAACCAGAACTTAACATGTCCAGGCTAGACCTCTCGATAGCTAATGCTACAGTGGAATGTTAAGTTCCAGGCATGTAAACATCACCTTGGCAAAGGGGCAGGACAATGTATGGAATTAAGCCTTGTTCTAGTGGCTTACCTTAAAGTAGCTGTCAGAGCAGGAATACTGCTCAGGAATGTGAAGACAATGACAATGAACATGAAAATTAGGAGAAGGGTTCTTCTTTCACATGATGATGTGCACTTTCCCGCCGTTGCCAAGCCGGAAGAAGAAGGAGAGTGTTCCAGAATGCAGCTGCACCCTCGGTACACCTTGCCAGGCAAACAACAACAGCAGTTCTGGTTTAGAAGAGGTCCTTGCCCTGCCAGAGCTCAACAGACACCCCAGAACCATGCAGAGCAAACTACCAGATATGGACAGCTGGGAGAAAATGCATCAGAAAAATCTAGGTGAATTTGCCAAGCCAGGGAAGGCTATCCTTGAACTTTCCTGGTCATCATTAAGATCTAGCCTGCACATCCAGCAGAAAGGGAAATTTCCACAGGGGGCTTGGAAACCTTGGAGAGCCGCCTCAGTGAGGACTGTGGGTGGGCAGCCGCCACCCATCAAGTCCCATGTAGCTCTGAGCCCCCTGTGCAAGTGGTCAGTTTGGATCACTGGCCAAAAAGCATCCTGCCCATTCTCCATTAGCCCCACTCGGCACGGGGGAATCAAAAAGGAAGGGAAAGGGAGAGAGAACCTTCAAGACATAGTCTGCAATCTGGCCATACCTAGCAGTGATATGTGGCCCCGGCAGATTACCCCCAAGGGAAGATAAAACGCGACAGAAACAAAAGTCCACCATCCCTGTAGTAGTGAGCTGTATGCTATTAAATGCCCAGAGGACTTTGGTTATTGGACAGTTTAGAAATGGATGGATGGATGGCCAACAGTCTGATTCAGTATAAACACTTTCCTGCTTCTCTGAGAACATTATCCATTAAGAACCCTTAATTGAACAGCATCTGTCATTGGAGTGATTGCAAGTTTATAAGAGGATGCACTCATATTCCCTTGGAAGGAGATCAGAAGAGGAGAAGGGCCTTCTCTGTGGTGGTGCCCTGGCTATGGAAGGGGCTCCTTAGAGAGGTGAACCAAGTACCAGTGCTTTTTTTTTGTTTTGGCACCAGGCCAAAAGCATTTTATTTTCCCATTATTTTAAACGTTAGTAGTGGCTTTAAGGTTGATTGTATATATTATTTCTGGACACTGTGTCTTATTCATTTATTTTATTGTATCACCACCCTGAGACACTGTGAAGGGCGGGATATAAAAGCTATAAATAAATAAATAAATAAATAAATATTCCAGGGCGAACGCACTTTGAGAATTCTTTTAAGAATTCTGTTTCAAGTCTGACTAAGCGTCCACAGGACTTAGACACCAGCACAACAGAGCGCTGTGGAAGATGGACGTTCTCTGCAGGACACACCTTCTTCCCACTTTCGTGACTGATCGATGTGTCCTTGCATCCGGCGTGGCAGGGGGAGTAGTACATGACGTCGTCATTCCCGCACACGGGGCTGTATGCCTCTCGCAGACAGTCACACTCCATATTGCAGGGAGCCGACAGGTTGAGGTGGCCTTGGAGCAAGGTGCTGCACACACAAAACATACAATCAGCAAAGAAATAGGATGGACCGTATTCATCCCACTGCAATGACATTTTGGCTCTTGAAGACTCCATGGAAGCCTCTGCTTCGTATCCACAGAAGATCCAAGAGGATGTCATACATTGCTGTAAAGCAGTAAGCAGAGTTCAGAGTACTGGGAGCCTTTGTTATATACTTTTTTCTACATACTGGACCTCTGAAGAACACCTACGGTTGAAACATGTTTGGTTACTTTTTGTATCGAATTATACGATTTCCCCTGTGGATCGTGCTTTCCTGCATGTATATCGATTCCATTTGTTTAGTCTGTACAGATGAAGTCATATGATCAGCCTTTTTGGATACCCATTGATTTTTACCGGTTACTTAGCCCAATGGATTTATATTCTTATTAGTATTAGGCTAACCTTTTGGTCTCTCCCAGCACTCTTAACTCTGCTTACTGCTTTACATCAATGTATGAAATTCTCTTGGATCTTCTGTGGATACATAACTTATGTGCAATTTCACCCCTCTGCTAAGGCTTAGCTGCTGAAAATAAGAACTCTAAGCTAGAATATTTGATATTCTAAGCATTTTTATATGGTGGCTCCATCCCTTTTGCTCTTGGTCCCACCCATTTGGAGAACCCCTACAATGGAATTGGGCGCTTGGACGGAAAGAGGTTCAACATCCCTGTGTTCCTCAGGATTGCCTTTTCAGTAGCTCTTGCCCTGTGAGTTTTAAGCATTGCTTCAGTGAACACTCAACTTCCTCTGTGCATCTTCCAGGATTCAGAAAGGAGAGAGGTGTGCTACTGCCTACCTTCTGTTATAGGTGTGTGTCACTCCAGCCATGGGCATGTTGGGGCAATCGATAAAAAAGATGAAAATCGCCAGCAGGCTGGACATGGTGCAGAACAAACAGAACTTGATGATTCCTGAGCAGCGCAGCTTAAACTTGTTCACAAGGAACCCTCCAAGGAAGGTCCCCCCTCCTCCTGCTGGAACCACAAGGTAGCCTTCCAAAGAAGAAGAAGGAATAAGCAAGATCACTTATGAGACAAAGGTGCGCGCTTTCCCTTTGTGCTCAGCGACCTAAGAACATGAAGGAAGATATTGGCAGCTTGGACTACATCAGACTTCCTGTTCTCGTCATGAAAAGTCAGGCTTGGAGAAGCATGGAGGGCTGGTACTGGTGGCAGGAGAAAACGTTTCAATTCATTTTATTTCCTACACTATTGTCCTGCCTAACAGCCAAAGGCCAGCGCTGCATCTCTGCCAGTGACTCCACCCACCCAGGTATTCGTAGAATCATTGAACCGAAAGGGCTGCAAAGTTCAACCATGCTTGATTTAGGGAATCCACTGCTGGAGCTTCCTTTCTAGAGGGCCAGCTCACTTAAAAACTTGCAATGAAGGAATGTCCAGCATCCTCTGAGTCTCCTGCCCTCCCGCTCCAAACTAAAAGCAGTGAATGCTTCCATGTCAAAATGCTTAAAATCAAAGGTTCTTTCCATTCTGCATATGAAGAACATGATGATTTTTGTCAATTCTCACCAAAACGAACCAAGGCAAAATTATCTCACATGGCCAAATGTAACGGCTATTTCCAAGATTGGGGGCGGGGGGTATTTTTTTGTTCCTCCTGCATAGCTTTTGAAGATGAGAAGTCTGTCACAAGAAAGGAGTTGGCAACCATATTTCAACAATAATATGGCTGAATACACAGGGATCCTCAGCAAGAGTTTAAAACAATGAAAGTTGTGGGGTAGAATCTGTCACTGTGGTTGCTAATTGGTTATACTTGTCTGTCTCCAACAAGCCAAATGAAACTCTTATCCAACCCTGATTGCCTATATCTCTCTGGCTCCAGGCCGTTCCCCCCCACTGCATTGTGCCCCCCCCCCCATTGTGAAGATGTGATATGAAAATCCATGAAACTTGAGGTCACCAAAACTTTCCAAATGCCATCTCAACACTTTTTCTGATCTGAGTCTGTGTAATTCCCCAACTTCTGTGCAGTTTCTCCCCTGCAATTCCAAAGCTGAAATGCTTCTAAGATTTTGGAAATAAGTTACTGACTGGAAGAATATTTAGGTAAAATAGGCTGCTACCTTTTAGTATTTTTGGTTCTGCATACCAATGAAAGGGACTTCTTGAGAGCTGGCCTCACCCACCACTGAAATGTGCCCCCCCCCATTTCTCTGCCGCAAATCCCCCTTTTGTAGCAGGGGATTTGGACCCCCTCCTACAAAGGGATGCCTCATGCACTCCTTCCTTTGAAGGAAGTAGCACGTGCTCTGGCAGAAAAGTTTGTTTTGGAGCAGAAAAGATGCTGATAAAGAACTGCAGCAAACGATCACACCCAAAGTTCAAGAAGCAGCAAGCCAGCTATGGCATGTGAACATTTTCTTACCAAACAAGGTCGCTGCTTCTGATGCACTTAAGCTGAATTGCGATTCGAGAAACTTGGGACCAAAGGTGGACATCCCAGCAATAAGGGTGGCTTCCGTTGCTCCTGCTAAGCAAAGGAAGATGAAAGTGGGATTCTTCAATAGCAGCAAGACTGACCTGCAGGATCCAAGAAGGAAACAAGAACATTGACAACCAGGTTCACACAAGCTCATCTCCAGTACTGTGAGTTCATTACATTCATAGGTATTTTATGGTAACCTTTCTGTCAAGGCATTTCCTGATCATTCTAGGTTCTCCTTCTTGACCACCTTATTTCCCACAATTTCTTGTAATAGTTCATTTGTTTTGGTTCTTCGTTTATTACAATGGTTAATCTGATCTCGGAGGAGCTTGCGGGGGTGTACATGCCTCCCCTTCCCATCTTTATTCTTACTGTAGCCTTGTGAAGCAAGCTAGGCTAGAAAGGAGGAATTGGCAAAAGCCATTCTATGGAGTTTTCAGGAATAAAAACAGTCTTGAGCCTGGATCTCTGCAACCACAATCCAATAATCCATAATCCAATGCTTTATAGTAAGAGTGCAGAACCTCAGGATTGGGAGCTAAATCCAGTCCACCAGGTCTCGATGATCACTAGCAGTTTCCCAAGTTTTGTGAACCTTTTTCTGAAGTACCAGCGGTAGAGTGTTGTTATTATTACATTGCATTTATAATAATAAATCTTTCCCTTCTTTCTTTTAATATTGGCTAAGCGAAACAGGACTTTGTAAGAAATGGATGGACTGATTTTATGGATGAAGGAGAAGGAAGACAGTGAATTCTATCAAATTTGGAACTGTTTTCTTTTTTTTCCTTATTGGCTGGAGAAACGGGACTTGGTTTCGATCTAAAGATGTCTTCAACTTATTATAAATGGATTTGCATATGATCATAGAATGTTAAAAGATATGTAGTAGGGGGCTGACCCAATAAGTCCAATGTCTATGAGAATTGATGTTTTCAGTAGTAGTTTAAAATTGTAATAAAATTTCGTTAAACAAATAAATAAATCTTTCCCCTCTTGTAAGGAACTCAGGGAGGCTAACATACGTCCACTGTGCTTTCATTTCAATAACGCTGGGAGGTAGGTTAGGCTGGGAGGCAGTGACTGGCCCAAAGTCACCCAGTCAGCTTCAGAGACAAGTGAGGATTGGAATCAGGATCTCCAAGGATCCCAGTCTGGCAATCTCACCAACATGCCGCAATGGCTCTCAAAGAGCAACATGCTGGTCTTTCTGGTATCTTCAACCAGTTGCTTCTGCTATCATCGAACACTCGGACGCAGCCTCTGAGCATCTCCAAACTGGAATCTGGTCTTCAAGCCAAAGGAAAGTCTGTGTCCCTGATCTAGGTCACATGGAGCCCTCCAGATGAATTGGACAACAATTCCTTCCTTCCTTCCTTCCTTCCTTCCTTCCTTCCTTCCTTCCTTATTATGTTCCCATCATCCTGGCCAGTAGTTACAGGATTGTACAAATTCAGCAAAACTGAATTCTGTCTGGAAGTTTGTTCCAACTCAGATCCATATCAGATTACCAGCCCTTTTTCCTTTTTCTTATGAAAAACCATGCAAATTTCACAGGTATTTTCAACAAGTGCTATCAACTGTGCACAGCCTGGCAATGTCCCCACTGATTAAAGTCTATCTGTGCACATTTTTCTAAAGTACACACTTGTCCACGTGAATTTTGCAAAGGAACACATGCTGTCAAATCCAAATCAATTTTGGTCCATGAATCGCATCCCAAGGTCTTGCAGACCTTGGACTTCAACAGCAGGTTGTGTCTGCCAACTGGGCAGAATCCTGAGAAAAAATGAATTGAAATGGATTTCCTTTACATCCTTAGTTATAATCCAAGACATCACTGGGCAAGGCTACATCAGAGACTCTGCATGTCTGTTCCTCTCTGCCCTTGCTTTGCATCATGATGGCATTCTATGCACAAGCTGCATTCTTGCTGGAGCCAGGGGTCAGACTAGATGGCCCAGGAGGCCCCTTCTGACTCGCTCTGTTTCTATGTTTCTACTGGAAAAAATAAGAATCCCCAACACTTCTGTGCTGGACTCCACAAATACTGGTATTATGCCAGGAAACTGGTGCATTAGTAATGGAATTCCTATAGTTAATGAAAACAAAAAGACCCCTCCCAATATGCAAAGATTTGTTTGTCATCAATACTTGCTAAAATATTGGTGCACAAAATGAAATATTACACAATCAACATAAGTCACAGATAAACCGGGTGAGTGCCAAAACCATTTCAGCACGTCTGACATGTGGCAATCGTTTGTGTGTTTTCCTTCAGGAAATGGTTCCAGCTGTAACCCTTTCTTTTGGGTACAGAAAGGGCCTTGGGGGAAACAAGATGGTCCCAATTAGCTGTCCCTTTCTCAGATCTCCAGAGCAGTCAGATTGATTCAGATGCACTGGGACATCTTCTGGGCAGAGTTAATCCCTTACTTACACAACAGCACTGAAACCTTTGCCCACCTCCACTCCATCAGCAGTGAAACTGACAACCTACATCTGGACCAGCAAGGGCTTCCTGCATCAGCAAACATACCTACAGGATGCGGTCAAAGCATCCTGAGCCAGTCCAGTTGCAACTACTGAAAAACTGCACTGAGGTGGCAGGTGCTGACTTCTTCTCCTGCCCTGCCCTGAAGACAACTCCTTGGCCCCCCGAGTTTCCCTAGCCCCAGCTTCCAAGGAGCCCTCATGAAAGGAAGCGGGAAGATGAGAGAGGCTGCAGCGCCAAGCAGCGAGCAGGGTTGTCTCTATTGCTAGAAAGCGTTGGGCACCTGGCAAGAACACCCGACGGGGTGCAGAGCCAAAAGAGCCCCGTGGGCTGGTTCTTGATCTTCATTAGTCCCTCCTGTTTGCTCACATCTCTGTCACTGCAGTCCAGTCAACTGTGACGGTGGGAAGGAGGGAGGAGGAGGAGATGGGCCCACCTGCTCGCTCCCTCTCTCCCCCCATCCAGTCAGCAGCGATGAGCAATAGGACGATGAGCAGCTGGGGACCAGCCCTGGTTGCTTCCGTGAGGCAGTGAGCCTGACCTTGAGAAGGGTAAAGAGAGAGTCCCGGGGAGGGAATGGCGAGGGGTGCTGACAGGGGCTGTCAAGTTGCGAGGGTTTTGGGCCTCCCCTTTGGATTGCACCCTAAGAACGCTGCTCCCAGAAGAATGTGGAAGCTGTGTGTGGAATACTGACCTGTCTAGCCTTGAATTGACTGCAGTGCATCCCAAGCAACCTGCAGCTCTGGTCTTGGAAAAGTTTACAAAAAGTCAAAGTTATTCTCTCCCAGTTGGGCTGGATTCTGCCCTTCCGTCCTTCCGTCCTTCCTTCCTTGGTTTTAATGACACACAGTGCTGGGAGACAGGAAGCTGGGAAAGCTGTACCCCACGGCTTTCTGGTTGGTGTTTCCCTTGGACCACAATATATTCAGTACTGACGTGAGGTGGTGGTCCCTTCAGGCTAGAGGTGCCCTGCCAGGCCTCCCCATCCAACCTACAGCCTCTCTGTCAGGCCTTGGCCTCTTTCCATGGGCCCACCCTCTCTGAGGCTCGCCTTTCCCCCCAGGTCCCTATGAATCAGTTGAGAAGTGGAAAAATGGGGCTGCAGGGTGAGGACGAGCTGTGGAAAGAGGAGAGAGAGAACAGCAAAGAGAAGGACTGAGAGTGATGGAGGGAAGGAAGGTGAGGAAAAGCCTAAAGATGGATGGATGGGCATATAAGGAAGAGAAACTGTAGGGTGGTGAGGAGTAAAAACAGTGTGAACAGAGGAGAAGGTTGGATGCTTATAAGAATTGTATGAACATTCGTGTGTGTGTGTGTGTGTGTGTGTGTGTGTGTGCACACGTGCATGTGGATGGATGTGTGTGGATGAGATGTGTACATGGGACTTTGACTGTGTCTGATTTTCATTCACAGAAAGAAACCCACAAGAAAATGCAGCCGTTAGGCTGAAAAATCATCCAGTCCTTCCTCTGGATAGGCAAAGGAGTAATATACAGGATTTTTCTTTTAAGTGTACCATGATTTGATTAAAATCTTAATAGCTTCAGAGATTAGAATAGGCACATTCCATTAAAAACTATATGTGTGTGTGTGTGTGTGTGTGTGTGTGTGTGTGTGTATTTGGGGGTGGCACAACCCAGAAAATTCCAGCACTGTAAGATTTCAGTAGGAATTACTTGTGGAAATGGTTGCTTAATTTTGGCAAAATCATTTGCTATCATTCCCTTCATTTGCAATAGTTAGGATGTGAGTGCCATTGTTTCTATAGCCAAAATGTCAAATACGCACAACAGGTTGTTATTAGCAGGATCGGAGGAACACTGATATTTTCAGAAGTGCATATATATTTGTTGGATAGGGGAGACCCCAGGGCAATCACATGTGCACACACACGGAAGGTATTTAGTGGGCATAGAATGCAGACAAGGGCAGGCAATGGAAAGGAGTCAATGAAACCCTGGAACAAAGCATTCCCCACTGCAACATTTCGTTGCAACTCCCCTGATTTGCATATAAATATGCAGCCCTGGGTTCATTATGTGCAGTTTAATCAGCTACACTGGATCCTACATACTGGAAAAAAGAAAGACAAATGTTTGGTCATCAGCTGACTTCTTGCACGTTTCTCTAACAATGACTGATACTTCTCAGAGATGCGTCTGACACTGGAATTCAGTGGCTGGTGAGAATCTCTAACCAGTGAAATCCACCAAAAACGGATCTTGTTCTAAAATGTAACTTCTGGTGCTTTGTGCAGTCCTGTCCTCTAGCTATTCAAGAGCAGAAATTAGCACTAGAAGATACAGGTACGTATACAACAGGTCTTTCAGGGAAGGTATCAGAGAATAAGAACTTTCACCCATAATAGTGAACCATGGTGAGTCGCCGTTAGTGCGAACCCGTGATGCTCCAGCTGGGTTCTGTGGGGTTCCTTGAGAAGATGCTTCTTTCCTCTCTGTCAACATACACAAGTGTGGGCGTGGGACAGGCATTCTTTGAGACCACCCCTACAGTTAATGGAGGAGGCGCTCAAGGTCCACAGAGCCACCTGAGCCGTCCCGAGGCTCTGCAGCAAGCGGACAGCATATACAAACTTTGAATAAATAAATAATAAACCATTCGTGGTCCTGCATGATTTGGACATGTGATGCTAGGACACCTAGAGAACAGGGCAGCAGAGGACAGAAGCGCTGCTGCTGCTGCTGAGAGACCAGCTGGATTTGACCTATCTAGCAACAGCCATTTCATCAGAGGTACCGATGTTGCTTCCATCCCAGCTGGTTGTTATAAGAACCATGATTTTTTTTAAAATTGTTCCTATCTGAGCTTGCTCTTTCCTTCTCCCTCCCCAGTATTTTTCCTTGTGTGCATGTCTTTTAGAGTACAAAGCTGGAAGCAGGGTTGATCTTACTGCTGATATCAATAAGCCATTCTGAAGTTGCTTTGAAGTTGCTTTGGCTAAGCAGCAGGACAAAAATGTTTTAAATATACAATAACAGACACAGGATTTTGCAACACACATCAGGCAGGTCATTAAAAAAAATCTTGGAGTGAAAAGGTTTGCAAATCTAGTGTGCAATGGACATCTGAAGTGAAAAGTAAAATAAAGAGAATTTAATGCTCAGCTTTCTGTGCAGCCTTATTAGGTTGTTCAGACCTGACTGGCATTTAAATGCTATTTTGGAATTTAATTTCCTTGTGGCAGAACTGAGTCATAATCTTGGAAAGTGGCACATGGTCAAGAATTTCACTCAATAACTAGGCTGAAATTTCTTCAGTGCAACATTCTGCATAAATATGTATGTCTCCCAACCAATACATGCAGGCCACAGTCCAACACGGGCTTACCCGTGTGCATAATGAAGGCTTGACTCAGATCAGACATTGGACTGTGGCTGTTCTCTCAGAGAACTTCCTTGTAAACACCTGTTCAAGTCTGGCTAGTCCATAAGGCATGGTTTTCAGGGATGCCACTGGGTTCTAGTCATTTTCACCATGTTGGTCTTAAAAGTTCTCTAAGTTGGCACTGCTTGGCCACAAACAACGAAATATGATCAATGGGGATTGGGAAATTGAAGGAGGGGTTCCTATTATCCACGTTCCAGCACCTTTCCTCCTCCCTTTCTAGCATGCTTTTCCCACTGAAAACCTGGAGTTCCTCTAGACTCCTGATGGTGCCTCACTCCACCCCTGCAGAGGAGCTATCCGTGGTGCTAAATGAAGTCTCCCACACAGGTTCATCCCCAAGGGGCACCATGGAGAGTTCCCCTAAAGCTCCAAGAAAAGGCTGCAATGGAAGAAGAACCCCTCTGGCACAAGAGTCCAAAGCCTCCCCTGCTCTGTTTCATGGAATGGGAATGATGGTGCTCAAATCGTCTAAACGGAGCACGCATTCTTCCGTGTCCTCCATGAGGCCAGCTAGATTCACTTGCGATTGGACTGGGGATCATGTTGCTACTGAGAGCCAAGCACAGTTGGTTGAAAGCCCCACTGTTCCAACGCCCTCCCTCTGCATGTCACCTCCAGGTGTCCTTGAGTGGCAGAGGTACAAGAAGCTCTCACCGTGGCAGGTCCTTCACCGTCTTTCCAAAGTCAGGGTCAGAGGCTGTTTTGTGGCTGCCGTCTTTCAGCTGATGGGCTTCTGAAACCCTCATGACAATGTAGCGCTGAGATCCTGAAAGCATACATTTCATGGCGGAAGTCAACGCGTGCCTTGGAGATGGAGCACCGGGCCGAGCTGTTGATGCTCAGGCCAAGCGGCGGGCAGAGATGTCCTTGCCCTTTCACTGAATGCGTGGAGTGAGAGGGAAAAACCCCACTCCCACACCCTTGGCCTCTGTGGGCCTGCCCCTGGCTCTTGTGCATCAGGCAGAAGGTCTGAAAGGGGAACTGGCAAACCTGCACGTATACAAACGCAGGCTTCCCGTGAGCTAGTGGGTGAGGGGAAACCACCACTGGGAAAAGGCCAGTAGGCCTTGCTGTGCTCCCCCACCCATGCAGATTTGAGGTCAGACTGCTCTTTACTCATTCATTAATGTCATTTCTCTATCGCCCCACAGCCAGAACGCTCTGGTATAGTGTACAGCTGAGTCATTTCTATTTCCTTGCTCACACGTGGCCCTGATCATTTCCTGAAGTTCTGCAACACTGGGCAGGAAAAGAGTGTGTGTGGGGGGTGCGGGGGGGGGAGACTTCCTTGTCGTTAATATGTATTTTTGTAAAATTGTTTTTAATCCTTGTGCGTATGTGCGTAGGGGTTGAAATTTCAGAAAGCAAAGAGGTGGGGGGAAGGTTTTAGCTGAAATGGGGCAACACAGCATTGCTCTAGACTCTACAGTATGGCAGCCACTGCCACCAAAATAACAAAAAGCGTATCCGTTTAAGGTTGCTATTCACAAATTCATTATTTTTTAAAATAACTTCATGCTTCCACTTTGAATAGACACATTAGAGGTGCAGTGTTATCATCTCTGGAGCAAGGGCTTCTAAGACTTGGTGCCCAATACAAGGGAATGGTCCTCCTTTTTGCCGTGTTTTGGCCATCTAGATGTGATGGGAATGATTTGAAAGCATGTAACAACAATATCCACAACAATTGTTCCTGAAGAAGCACGTTCCCTTTCAGAGAAGTCCGTGAGGGAATAATATTCTAATGAGTTGGCACTTCTGATTTCCAAACTAATCTCACTTCCTTATTCTTGGAATGATCCTTGGTCATGGCAGTTGGCCAGTCCAAATAGCATTTCCAAGGCTTCAGAGAGCATGCAAATAGCCTTGGATTAGACTGGGGCAGGAAACCTCCTTGTTTCAGTCATAGGGCAGTGACCCACAGTGAGAAAGAAGCAGTTAGGAGCTACATGCAAGTAGAAAGTGGGCTGCCATTGAAACCCCACAATGGGTCAGATGACAATGGTGGAAGCATGGAAGGGGCTGATATTACCCGACCAGCATTTCATCCTCAAAGTATGCTTAGCTGTTCTGTGGTAACCATCTCTAGATGATCACTACTACCCAGAACATGGAACGGATCTCATAGTGATCTCTTGTTCTACTTAGCGTTAGTTGCATTTGGGGTCATTTTTTACCCCAGATGAAAGTGCCTCTGGCAAAGACAATGCTGCATTTGAAAAGCATTTGTTCTAGGTGAAAGTTTTCACTTGGAGGTTTCAATCAATGGAAGAAACGTTTTCAGCCCTCAGCAAGTAAATTTAATCTAAAGTTTAATCCCTCCCAAGGCTGTGCAAAATGAAAAAATCTGCATAACATTGCTTGGTCCATTGACTTTTTCTCTGCATTAGAATAGTATGGCCTATTAACTTTAGAAAACCAAAGCAAAGCATTTCCTCAAGGGATTTTAATTCCATTTGCTGGAGTTTTTAACTAAGAATCTTAGCTTTAAAAAGAGGCCAAGATGATCTGCACTGAACCTGCATTTGTTCCTTTGCTTGGAATACAAAAGTATGCCATACATTCTGGAGTACTTTCGTGTCCTGGGTGCTTTCTGGTTTATGGGAGGAATAAAAGGCAGGAGGCTGAACCCTGTGGATGCTTTAGACCTGGCATTTTGTGACAATATCCCAGAAGGACTAGTCAGTGGAACTACTTAGGTGTAAATTACATTAGAGGAGAAAGACCCTTCCTGCAGGGGTGGGTCCTGGCATGCTCATAAGGAGAGTTCCTGGAGCTGAATACTAGATTGGGTTCTCCAAACCGCTCTGTGGATGCCCAGAGATTCATTCTGGGTGTTTTCTGCTTTTTGGTCAGCAGAGAATGCTTTGCAAGGAAAGCAGTCTGTGACTTTTGAATGTAGGAAGGCGGAACCCTGGGTCATGACAGCCAGGCCCATGCCCAGCAGGGTGGGAGGACAGATGGCCTCCTGGAAATTTGGGGTTCCAGATGAACGATTCAGGGCTCCAAGACCACTAGGTGTCCCCCACGCCAAGTACATGCTGAGTTATGGCTCTTTTTAAAAAAATCCTGATTAGGAAGAAGTACATTCCTGCAGTCTTCTGGAACAGCCATGGAGGGCTCCACCTGAACCAGTTTGGCGGGGACACTCCCAACATACCTGGCAGGCGGTGTGGATATCCCAAGATGGGGATCGCGATCAAAAGTGAGCCAGCCCCTGCCCCCAGGAATCCGATCCACCACGCTCCAACCCATAGGGTATTGTCTGGCGTAAGATCAACTCTGGGAGTAAAAGAGAGGGGGAGAAAGTCCATTCATTTAGGGAAATCCGGTCAGGCTGCTCTTCCCTGAACTTCTTGCTCACTGGGATGAGCCAAGAGAAACCCACGTCTGATCCACATCATTACAGAATAGCTGCTCAGCTTCTCTGATGGGAAGGAACCTCTAAAAGAGGAACAACCAATTACAACGCTTACATGTTTGACACCCCCACACCAACCATTCACGTACTCAAATGTTTTGCTGTACTTTGTTTCAGGCAGGGGCGGTTTCTTTGTTTTTTTTTGTTCCCAAACAGAAAAAGAACAAAGAGGGAGTCTTACAGCCTGGCGCGATGGCTGTGTGTTCTTCTTGTAGGCTGCCTTACAAAACGAAGCACGAAAGAATAGATCCCTGCAGCAGACCTCTTGCAAACCCAAGACGTAGCCATATAGGGTCAGGCTGACAAGTCCAGAAAAGTGAGATATACAGCCCAATCCTATGTAAGTGTGGAAGGGTGTTTAACTTGTGTTCGTTCCTAAGAAGTGTGTGCATGCAACAGCAGAAATGCCCTAAGCAAGCTTACTCAGAAGCAAACCCTGTGTTCAGCTGGAGTTACTCCCCAGTAAGTATGCTTGTGACTGAAGCTTTAGGCTGAGTCTACTGAACAATACCTGAGGTCCCAATCCAGCCCTCTGGAGGTCTCCAGAAGGCCACACCCCCTTTTCTTGGCCCGGCCCCTTTCCCCCAACCACCAATCATTTCATGGTTTTGTGCAATGATTCCCCTTCTAAAAGGTTGAGATGTTGAATGACTTACACACAGTAAGCGTTTAAGCTAAAATATACTGGCATTTTTTGCTATTTTGGGGCTCTCCTTTCCGTCTTTTCCCTGCCCAATCCTGGAACGTGGGCCAGGTTGGAGCCCACAGGCGGAAAGAAGTTCAGCACTGCTGCTTTAGGCTCTGCCTTGTGGAATTTTTCCTCCCAAGCTACTTGGTTCATGACAAAATAGAAAAAGGACAGACTTATTAACAGCCTAGCATGGATTCTAACCACATCCCCTAGTAAAGGACAAAAGGCAAATCTTAGCCATAAATTCTGATTCAGGCATCAGCAGTTCTGTTGGCAAAGTGTTTTGCAGAAGTGGTCTAAGCTGTTTGCTGGCTCTTAGATCTTGCAATTCATACCAAGCAATTTTATCAATCATCAGTAGCAGACAAGGGCTCAGTAGCCCAGGTTCTGACATGCTTACATGAATTAACTTGCAAAGAACTCATAGCCACAAAGTTGGGAAAATACAAGAGAGCAAGGAAACAGGACTGCTGCAACAAAAACAGGTACATGAACAAAAATAAGAAAATAAGGAATTCCCAGTAGCATCACGATCAAAGCAGTTTGAAATGTGCAAGTTTGAAATCAAGCAGGTTGATTCCCCCTGCAAAGGCAAACACACTTATTTTCCACTGTTGTTACTGAATGTATTTGGAATGCATGATGTTCCTCTCTCATGTTACAATTTTTAGTCTCAAGGCTACAGAAGCAATAAAGTGGATGCTTGAGTGGATGAAGAGTGGATCCAATGAACAAAGCATTGATTTTGGCAAGTCTTCCATCTACTTCAAAGTAGGAAACATGCTCACAACGAAGAGTACAGCATACATAAGTGGAATCACAAAACCCAGCCCTGGTTTCTACTTCCCTTACATCGCAAAGGGCCCCATTTCAAATAGTTTGCAGAGAAGCTTCAAAGCTCAACGGGATTCTGTGTTAAGCTTAGCTGCTTACATTAATTTAAGATTAAAGGTTGTATTCAAGATTAAAATGCAAAAAGCAGGGAGCTTTTTGAATTCCTTATTTTCTTATTTAAGTTAAGAGCACTGGTTGCAGTTCTTTTAAAATGCAGCATAATAACTTCAGGAAAGTTATCAGCACAAGCCAAACACATTCCCTTTCTTATTAACCAAAATGGAACTATTGTAAGTCCACAAAGACTGTCTACTGTGAGTCGTAGTAACTCCCCAGGAACTTAATGAAGGGCTCATAGCCCTGTTAGCTGAAAATGCCAGGAGTAACATAGGTACCAGAATGGCAGAAAATAGCTCCCTAACATTCTGGACTTCATCTCCCAAAAGTTCCTGCCAGTATGACCCGTTGTGAGGAATACTGAGGTGTGTCTGCCCACCCCTGGCCTATGGGACCTTCTGCTTCTAGATCAGACAGTATACTGGTGGTCCTTCCTGCAGCATACAGAATGCAAAGATCCCACTAGTATCCTTAGGATCTCATAGCAGCCATGGCTGCTAGATAGGAAACACTGAGGAGATGCTTGTTCTGTTCACCATTTAATGCAAATTTACTGATTTTTGCACTTTCAGGGCAATAAATGAACTCTTGGTATCCTTCAGAATTCACACTGCTCAAACTCCTGATCCAAGAATGAAGTTCTCCAGAAGAACATCAGCAGAGTCCTGCTGGGCCAAACCAAGGGTGCATCTAGTCCAGCATCATAGACCAGTTGCCCACAGATCTTATGGGGCGCAAAGGCATATAGGGAGTAGTCCACCCAGACTAGCTGAGTTTGCAGAATGACTTGCTTGGATACTGCCTGATATTAGGAAAATGCTGCAGAACAAATACACATGCTAGGTCTGAGCTGCAGAATCAACTAGTCCTGACTGTAGCATATCCTAATTTCAGAGATAATGGGGGGATACTTCTGCCTGCATTTTATGCAACATAACATGCAGCAAATCCTAAAATTTGTAAGGTGCTTACACTGGCCAGATTTAATGTTCTACCATCTGCACTCCTGGAAGACATATTCAAGGAATGCCTCCTTCCTTATACACCCTCACGGCCCTTAAGATCTGTGGGAGAAGCCCTGCTCCGGGAACCCGCTCTAAGAGAGGTAACAAGGTCATCAACTCGGAGTAGGGCCTTCTCTGCTATGGCACCCAGACTCTGGAATGTACTCCCCAGAGAGGTATGCCTGGCGCTGAGCCAATACTCTTTTCAGCACCAGGTCAAAACCTTTTTATTTAAACCGTATTTGAAAATCAACAACTTTTAACGTTCAGTCGCCTTTGTTTTGTTTTGTGATTTACTGCTTTGTCTTACATATTATTCTGTTTCAATTTATTTATTAGAACTTGTTGTTGTTTTAATTGTTCTTTTAAATATTGTAAGCCGTCCTGAGATTTGTATATAATAGGACGGCATACAAAAGCTTTTAATAAATAAATAAACAAGTCCCTTACTATGAACATTTATGCCCCTGTGAGGAAGGAGACGTGAGGATAGTTGGACAAATTTATTTCATTGCTCCTTTTATCATGTTCTTCAGTTTACTTTTATCACTTCTTTAATATGGAAAATACCTTCTAGAACTGCCTTATTTTACAGGTCACTGCATGAGTGCCTAGTTTTTGTGCAGTTATTACTTGTTGGAAGGTGATGTTAAAATAATTTTATTTGAATTTTAATCTTTAATGTGCATTTACATTTTATCTCATGTTTTACATGTGTTGATGTTTTGTATAATAATAATAATAATAATTTTCATTTGTATACTGCTCTGTAGCCAAAGCTCTCTTGTTTTGTTGTATTTTATATTATTATTCTTTTTGCTGGTCTGTGACTGAAATAAAAACATACATACAGTCTGTATCTTAGGCAGAACTGTGTACAAAGATGCATACAAAAATTCATACCAATCTTCATGAGCACATTTCTTTGAAAAATATCAAAGTTCAGGCTGAAGCAAATTTAAGATTGGAAAAAGGAGAAACAGAGATAAAATGAATTTGACTGCTTTGTCCATCCTTAGTAAATAATGTTGAATTGGGGAAAGATATTTTATCCACAAGGAAACCATCACACAGGTTGGGCTCAAGTTCTAAATGGCAGTGTTACTCATGTCTGAATAATTGAGACAGCAGGTCTCAGGGCTTGAACTTAATATCCCAAATGCAGGATTTTGGCCAAATCCAAATAGAAGTCCACAAGAAACTGCCTTCTAACATCAGAGCATTTATCTGCCCAGCTTGCTATGGTCCATTCTGGGTAGAAGAAGCTTCCCAGAGTCAAGGAGCAAAGCTTCTTTATTATCACTGCCTTCCTAATACTTTTAGTGAGAAATGCCTGGGATCAAACCCGGGACCTTTTGCGTGGAAAGCTTGCGTTCTTTCACTAGAGCATCAGGGGAACAGAGCTGTGGCAAGTTCTAGCTTCTGGATGAGTGTGCGTGTGTCATTGCTTGGCTTATATGTTTATGTGTGCATGAAAACACATGTGTGACCTGGCACTCTGCAAAAGCTGTTTTGGTACTTTTGTGACTGAAACCAATTGAACACCAACCCGTTTTAACAGGTTGGCAGGATGTAAGAACCCTGCAATCTGTCTGCCCCACCCCTGCCAAACTAAAATTTAGAGAGAAAAGATTTAAGGAGAGTTTGTGATGCGGCAGATAAGAAGAGAAAATGGATTGTTAACTTACTGTCTCCCAATTTCTGTGTAAATGTTTAGAAAGACTCCTCCAACCAGATAGCCAGCTGCAGGACCCAGTATAGCAGCTGTGTAGAAAATACCTGAAAAAAGAAAACAACAACATCTGAAAAGGTTCAAATCCACTTTTTCCTGAATTCTAGAGCTGGGTTGATCAGGTTTTGGCAAACACAAGCCATTTTCAGTTTCTCCAGCTGTTTTGTTGCAACTGTTGTTGTTGTTGTTAGTCACGAAGTCGTGTCCAACCCATCGCGACCCCATGGACAACATTCCTCCAGGCCTTCCTGTCCTCCACCATCCCCTGGAGTCCACTTAAACTCACGCCGACTGCTTCAGTGACCCCTTCCAGTCACCTCATCCTCTGCTGTCCCTTTCTTCTTTTGCCATCTATTGTTCTCAGCATTAGGCTCTTCTCTAGGGAGTCCTTCCTTCTCATTAGGTGACCAATTATTTGAGTTTCACCTTCAGTTATACCACTATTTCACCACTATAATTTTTTCTTGGAACCAGCAGATCATGTTGCAAATACTAAATAAAATCTCACTATGCTATGCCATGTCTCTGATTGTCCCAGATATTTTCTGGCATTACAAGGATTTTAGGATGACCCCTTATGTTTTACTCCAAATGGTGAAATGTCTCACCAAAATAGAAGACAAAAGAGGGCAGAAGCTTGCATAAAATGCACACCAGTTAATTTATATAGCTAGATGCACACTTGGAAAGTTCATTCAGACTCTCGTGTGGGGAAGATGGTGACTAGGTGACCTGCCCAGGTGAGGACTGTTGATGGACAACTTCAAAACCTCATGTTGCTTTCCCATTCTTATGGCTCTTTGACTTTAAACTAGATTTGGATTGGAAGCTCTCCAAAGAGAGGACTGTCCTAAGCTATGGCACATGGCCACCCTAACAGGCGTTGATAAATAGAACACCCAAGATCACACTTCAGGCCTACCTAGAGTTTGTTTTGTTATTATGGTGGGCTATCATGAATGAAGCACCATGCTGGGTACATGCTGGATGGCTGTTCCTGCTGCAAGCAGGAGCAGCCAAAAATCCCAGAAGTGCTTCTGTTCTTAGGTTGCCAAATGTTGCATCCAGAGCTGGACCTCCAGCTTGTCCTTCTGCAAACAAGCTGGAGAAGGAACCCACCGTCTGGTCTGGGGCGGTTTCTCCAGCTTGCCAGGAGAGAGTAAAGCCAGAAGGCCTAGTTTGGATGCAACACTAGAGAAGCCGGGGCAGAGCACCCCCAGGTTCCACAGCCACTCTTGCTTGCCACATGAGCAAATGGACAACCTGTTCACAGCAACCAACAGTGAAAAACACATGAACAAACAGCCAGGGTTGGATGACTGAACATGCAAAGGGAGCTAATTGTAAGGCTCTAAAACCCAGGCCTGCAGCAGGACCCCTCCTAGTCCAAAGGACGAGGGAAGGTGAAGGCTCAGATGCCCTTAAGGGGACTCTGCACAGTTAATTCACTGTGCATCCAGAAAACTGGGGTTTACTGCTATGGGAAAAGGGAGGAAGGATGATTCTTGCCAACATGTAGTGCTGGGGAAGGAAACAGAGGCAGATGTTAGTATTAGAAAGGGGCCTCTAACTGCTTTACATGGAGCACTCCAGCTGACTAACGCTTGCTTCAATCGATGACTAATGCTCTTTTGTCCTTAGCATAATGAGTTGAGTGACAGCCATGCAGGACTGCAAGGTTCAGGTGTCCTGCCCTTGTGGAGGGGCTGGCACAGGGGACTTGACACCAGATGGTGCATTTGCAAGAGCAGGCAATGTGGGATTCACCTGGCGAGTGCCTGGGGTGGGAGTCAAGGTCAGTATGGACCTGCAGCTGTGCCCCAGCCACCTGGCCTGGCCCTCCCTCTTCACCGTTGCAGCCCTCCTTCTGTCCCAGGCAGAAGGTGCAGCAGGAGAAGCTGTGCCAAACTTGCTCACTGGCTCTCTGCTGTCAAGCAAGCAAGTGCTGGCAATGACGGGAAGGATAAGGAGATCCAAGAGCAGGTGGTGCGAAGTTTGGTGCAGGGCCCATTGAGAGCATCTTCTCAACGGGCCTTCCAAACAGTTGGCACTATGAGTGTCTTTGGTTCTCACACGCCACCCAGTTCTAGTAATCTGCTCCCCAGGATTATTATTCCATTGCATTTATATCCTGCCTTTTTCCATCTTGTGAGGATCCCAAGGTGGCTTCCACAGCCCCATTTTATCCTCACAAAAACCCTGTGAGATCGGTCAGGCTGAGAGTCACTGACTGCCGCAAAGCCACCCAGTGAGTTTCAGGGCTGAGAAGGACTAGAACCCAGATCTTTTAGGTCCCTAGTCCAACACTTTAACCATCACACTACACTGGCTGCCAGCCTGTGGTATTTTAAATCTCAGACCAGCTTCCAAGGATGAGACCTGGCAACTGCTTGCTTGTTTCATCCCATTGTATCAATCACGAAGCAGCTGAAAATTCACCCCAAGTTTAATTCTAAGCAGATGGGGAGCAGATAACTCTCCTGGGGTTTTTGAAGTACGAGCTGAAAGAGTTAAGATGAGCCCAGCAGCATTTTGCATGCTCCCCAAACAGACACTACATTTATATAATGGGTGCTGTGCAATTAGTCAAAGGGAAGAAAACTTGGAGGGCCAAACAGGGATCAGCCTCATACCTGTAATGAGCACTTTTAAACCTTCAAAGCACATCAGATGGATGCCCTCTGTGCCCACCCTTTATGACTGGCCACTGTGTTGTTACTGGGCTGGCATCTGAGAGGGTGGTTTCTTGCCCTCAGCAACCTGTATGCTAGGTTCAGACAACATGAAAAGCCATGGTGGATGGTTGGTCTGCCATATTGTCTGCACCCAGTCATGGCATTTTATCATAGTAAGTTTGGTCTTTAGAAACCACAATAAGAAACAATGGTTTGTTCTATGGTTCCTCCATACCATCATGGTTTTGTTGTATGAACCCAGGATCATGGTTTCCATGGTCCTGGCATGCAACTACCACAAAGTCCCCTGGAAAGAGCAGCAACTGCAGGAGCTTCTCTAGCTATGTGCAGACCAAGGAGGAGGAAGTAGGCATAGCCGGGCAGCAACTGGGATTAAATTTCAGTCATGGGGTCTGATCAGATCGATGTCAACAGTGGGAGGACTGAGTAGGGAGGATGGAAGCCACAATGGTATAGAAGCCATGTGATCATCAAGGGTCCAGAGGAAGGCACCAAAAATGATTCAGGGTTTGGAAATACTGCCCTGAAGAGAGACTGAGTGAGCTGGACATGTCCAGCCTTGAGAAGAAAAGACTGAGGGGGGACATGATATTTCTCTATAAGTACCTCAAAGGCTGTCACAAAGAGGAAGGTCAAGATCTCTTCTTGCTGATCTGAGTGTAGGACACAGAATAATCAAGTCAAGTTGTGACAACCCAGGTTCAGGCTAGATATCAGGAAAGCTTTCCTCATTGTTAGAGTAACACAACCGTGGAACCAGTTGCCTGGAGAAGTTGTGGGCTCTCCCACACTAGAGACATTCAAGAGGAAACTGGACAGCCACCTGAGTGGGATGGTGTGACTTGGTGTCCTACAACAGCAGGGGCTTGGACCCGATGGCCTTCATGGCCCCTTCCAGTTCTACTATTCTATGGTTCTATGATTCTGGACCTCCAGTTGTTTTGGCCAATAATTCACGTAAGTTCTAGCCAGCATAGCCAACAGTGAAAGACCATGGAAGTTGTAGGCCAAAACATCTTGAAGGCCAGACATTAAAGAGCTCTGAACTTTTATTGATCCTCTACTTATTTATCTTTGTTCCTATATTCGGGGATGTAAAAGGATCAAATCTAAGACCTTCTCATACTCTATCAAGCCAAAGACCCCACCCCCTGCCACAGACTATATATACTAGGAAAAATAACTGTACAATAACAAGGGCTTTAACAAAGAATTATACAACAGAGTACTATTGCAATAAACACTGGCCAGTTCTGTACAATCGAACTGCTATATTTCTGCAATTCAACACACTGGCAAAGAAAGCAAGAGAGAGAGAAACCATTCTTCACGTAGGCAAAGCCACTCACCAATATACACAGGGGAATAGTTGGATTTAACATTTTCATCCAGGTAAGTCACACCTAGAGTATAAAGCGGCGTTGCTCCGATCCCATGGAGGAACTGTCCGAGCATGAAGACAAACCGGTAATTAGAGAGACTGGACACACTCTCCGAGCACTTGATGCTCTGATTGGAGGAGCACATGCCGATCTCCTCTGAGAAATGTACTTCATACTGACTGGTGGTGAACTGAGGCAGTGCAAAGATGATGGACCCGATCCCCATGATCAGCACTCCCCATCCCAGCCACCGCAGTTTGTGCCCATTCCCTCCAAAGTAGCTGACAAACGTCAAGCACACGCAGGCGGCAATGTCATAGGAGCTGGCGATCAGCCCGCTCTCATAGCTCTGCAGGTCGAAGCGCCGCTCGATCGAGGTGATGACGGTGTTGATAAAGCCGTTGACTGTCATCCCTTGCAAGAAAGAAGCCACACAAAGGAAGAACAGGACCCCCCTGGGGGTATTGAAAAACTGTAAACAACTCGGAGTGAAGGCCCCCCACCCACACACAAGGCTCTCTCCTTCTGAGGAGATGTACTTAATGCCAGCCGTGAACTGGGTTCGGCTCTCGGATCCTTCATCACAAAGGGGTTTGATGTATGAGTCCGAAGGGCTGTTTGCATTGGAGTAGTAAATGCCATTGCTCTGAGCAGTGCTGCAGGATTCCTTCGGACTACTGGGTGAATCAAAAGTTAGGCTGTTCTCCACTGGCTTGGATGTGCTAGAAAAAATAAGTTTCTGGGTACAGTTGAAGCCATTTTCTCCCACCAACGTGTGAGGCATTTCTGTCCAAGAGGGATCAATAGCTGTTTTCTGTTTCCCCTCTCTCCCTTTCTTTGCTTCTCTGGGCCCAAAGGTTGGTTTAGATCCTTGGAACAGTGGCTTGAAGTCTTGGTCTTCAGGATGAGAATATTTCTGGCAAGTGAATAAAGGAGCCGATGAGCCAATGAGAGACCCTCAACCATTTCAATCTGCAAAAAGAACATCGAGAGGAATCAGCGGGTAGATATTTTCCTGGTTTTCCTTCTAGACATGGACTTGACTTTGTGCAGGTTGGAACAGATTTTGATTTGACACTATGAAGAGTTCAAACAGCACAGCTGTCAGTGTTGGCCATATTGAACCTGCCCTTTCTTTGTGGAGGTATTTCCCTGGCACCCAAAGGTAGGGATGTGTGAGGAATCCAGTTTGTGCGGGTGAGAATCCACTGGATTTCCTTAGCTGGCCTCCCTGGTCTCCAGCCCACTTTCTCTCTTCCTCAAGTCTGCCTCAGGCCAGGTGTTCACAGATGCACCTGCTGGTGAGTTCCAGTGGAGTTCTGCTTCCATAAATGTGACTTGCAGACTTTGTGCAAAGACTTACTGACATTGCACAAAGAAGCCACTAGTTTTCCTGAGCATTTACAGACCTGATCTCAGCTCAGCAAACTTTCTGGCCAGGGTCAAGCCTGAGGAAGAAGTCCAAAGAGTTCAAGAGAGCCAGATTCAGGCCTGATCTTCACTTTCCAACCAGTAGGCATGTCCCCTGTCCTGGGGTTCCCCTAGAGACCCCTAAGGTGTACCCTATCATGACGTACCCCTAGAATCTGACCCCTGAGGTGAACAGCTCCACAGCACAGGGGAGAAGGCTTCAAATTGTATGGACTGCAAAGCTGAGTTAGCAAAGCTTGCTTCTAGTGGCTGAATATGTTACTGCAGGCTTCAACTGCATGGGCACTTTTAAATTAATTAAAATTAAAACTTGTCTTTTAATATTAAAATAACCCTGGTATATGCACCCATGGGGTCCCCTTAACATGTCTGCCAAGTTTCAGAAGTCTTGGTTCATTGTCCTGATGGACGGACAGACAGACATAAAGACAGGCAGACAGGATGTATGCACGTATATCTTCCTTTATGTTTACGGAATAGTTTCAGCCTGACTTTCCTCCAAAACAGTCAGGACAATGCACATACTCCCACCAGCAACAACTGCAGACTCCTTCTAATTCTAACTGAACTATAGACTAAAAGGGGGATCACAAAGATTATTTCCCCCTACAGTGCTTTGTACAATCAGATCCGGGTCTGGACAGTGCTTGGATGGGAGATTGTCTGGGAATGCCAAATATCACCTTGAATTTCTTGATGGGAGAGAGGCAGGATACCTACAGACAGAGAGACAGGGAGGCAGGCAGGCAGGCAGATGGACTGACAGAGAGGACAGATTCGAAGCTGAGCAATGGCGATTTGCATAAAGCAGGGATGAAGAACTGTTCAGCTCGTGGGGGTGGTCTGCTCAATCCATGAAACCTCGTGGTGTCCCTTGCCTGGAAGCCCCACCCCTCCTGAAGCTCCTCCCCCTCCCACAGAGAGAAAAGGACGGGTGTGCATGTGGGGAGGGGGGGAAAGCAAACAGTTTCCTTTCTTCACGAACAGGATAGGAACCATCCCTGCCAGTTTCTGCAGAAAGGAATGTGCCTTCTCCTCCACACACATGAAGAAAGCCATCGCTCTGTGGATTCCGCCTGGGGGAATCCAGCGCTGCCACAGTGTCTTTCAGCCAGGCTCCTCACCTTTAACTGCTAGGTGGCAGGTATGTACATCACAGTCCATGCAGGGGATACTTCAACTTTTGGTGCAGATGGCTAAGAGATCAAATTCAGCTCAGTTTTGATCAGAATTTACCAATGTGGAAAGTCCTACATATTTAAGAGGGAAAGAACTTGAGATTATGCATTTGTTTATTTAAAACTTTTCTAGACCGTTCCTTACCATAGTCTCAGGATGGTTTAACAAGACAATATAAAATAAAACACAGCTGATTGGGAAGGCAGGGTATGAAACTGTCAATGTTGTCCATCTTGTGTTTTTATTGCATGCACAGAGCAGCTGGAAAAAAGCTTTAGAACCCCTTCTGTCTATAATATTTCTGAAATTCAGGTTGCGAGTCCTGTTGCTTATGTAGTGAAAACAGCCTGACATAAGAACAAGAGGGAGGTTTCTATAGGCTTGGGACATTCCCAATGTCTGCAAAAGTAAAACAAAACAAAACAAAACAAAGCAAAACAGAGCAAGAGAGAGAGAGAGAGAGAGAGAGAGAGAGAGAGAGAGAGAGAGAGACCCAACCACAAAGCACGCTCGGTGTGCATGGATCGCTGACTGTTAGGGCAGTGGAGAGGGGCTGGAATAGGGTGGGCAGACTTTTCCTTGGGGGGGCACTCCTCCCTCCAACACCGTCCCACTTGTGCCTCTCTAATCTGCCTTTCCTTACCTTCCAGAGAACTCCAGAGTCCCAAAGTTTTCCCCTTTGCTAATCTTCTCCACTCTCTATGGCTTCAGAGCAGCTTGTAATTGTCACGAGGTGTTCTCAACTGTCAGAATAATTTTATTCCAGTCCTTCAAGCTTATTTATAACAATTCAGCACAGTCCCGTCAGTAGTTAATTAGACTATGTATGCTCTGCAGGAAAATGTGCTACAGATGCAAAAGAAAAGAAAGAAGAAATATTTCTTTGACTGTTGTAGTTTTTGCTTGTTTGTGTTCTAAAATAAGTCCCTGTCCAATAGATATGGTACAAGGTCCAGGGTCTTGCCTGCAGTAAGCTGTAAGTTGAATTTATTTACTATCCAGAAGGTATCAGGTTATATGGGTGCAAAAGAAGTTTTCTTTTACAGGACTCAGACCTTGCAGCTTTCATAGGGACCATGGGGTTGGCCCTGGATGTCCAGGTGAGGGTGTGGACAACCTTGTTAGTTGGACAGTTTAGGTGTAAAATCTCACAACTGCCTCCCCTATTTCTGGCAGGAGTAATCAGCATTGCTTGCATTTCCATAAACTCAAAATCAATCACCTTGGTGCTGAATGGGTTGGTCAGAATGGCTTGATGGTGGCACATATATCTATACTAACTAAGCATTACTGCAGGTTCAGCAGTCAGGATGAGCAGATCTCCACAACCAAGATTCCCTGAATCAAGGTCCAAGAATCATGGGATGGTATATCAATGCATGTCAGGTCTTGAAGACCTGAAAGACAGGTGTCCAACTCTCTTCATAGGGCCAGGAAGTGAATTTTAAGGCATTCTGAAGCCACTGGATTCAAGAAACCCAAGAGTAACACACCGCTACTCTCCAGTGAGATGGCTGTGTTTTTTCACTCCTGGGCCAGATCAGAGGAGGAACACGGTGGCTTGAGTACTGGTAGGTGCTATTTAGTATGATGCCATTGTTCCTGACTTTTATTATTCCTGCATTTATCTCCTGGATTTTCCCCCAGTTATAAGGAATTCAGTCATACATGGAGTTCATCCTCTCCATGTTATCCTCACAACAGCCCTGGAGCAATAGAGAATCAACAACTGGGCAAAGCACACAGTGAGCTCCATCACTGAGTGGGGACCAGAAGCTGGGTCTCCTGAGTCCCAGCCTAACACTCTAAACACTATACCTCTATGGCTATTTGGGGACAGATAAACATAGAGTTAAGGCTGACAGGAAGAAACGGATGTGCTCAAAGCAGGAGGAGGAGAACTTTGTGAATACCCTGGGGAGAGAGAAAGACAAGCAAGGAGGTTCTTGAGCAAATCGAGCCAAAACTTTTTCTAGAAGCAGAAATGACAAAACTGAGGCTGTCCTACTTTGGGCACATCATGAGAAGGAAAGACTCCCTGCAGAAGACAACCATGCCAGAGAAGGTTGAGGGCAGAAGAAGAGGAAGACCAGCGATGGGGTGGATTGACTCCATCAAGGAAGTCACTGCCAGAGCTGAGCAGGGCTGTCAAGAACTGATCATTTTGGAGGGCATTGATAGGGTTTCCATAAGTAAGAGATGAGCTGATGGCATGTAACAACAGAGGGTTGATTGAGGAATTTGTATTTGTGAACCCTGATATGATCTGACTGATCTCACACACACTCCGCCTCTGCCTGGTACTCGCCCCTGGGTAGGCTGCTTCTCCTTTACCAAAGGAGGCCTCCCAAAGCCACTATTTCATGGTGGTTCCCGGGTTAGCTTCTCAAAAGGTCATCATCATCATGGCCAATCATTTATTTCCTTTCTGTATGCCCCATAGATGAAGCACTCCAGGCAGTGTACCACAATGTATAAAACAATACAACACAAACTTCATAAAAACAACAATGCTGAAATAATTTTAAAAATAATTTAAAAGAGGTAAGAAAATATTAAAAAGATCCTGAAAAGGGAAAGCATCACCTGGACAATCCACTCGAGCCTCTTGATAGCCAAGGAGATCTTCAAAGGCCAAGGAGATCTTCAAAGGCCTCTGCCTAAAGGGCTGTCTTGGCCTGGCATCAAAAAGATGGCAAGCTTGGTGCCAGACCAGGCAGGCTGCAGCAGGGAGGTTATTCCAAGGATCGGGGGCTACCACAGAAAAGCGCCCCCGCTACCCCCCAAGCCTCCCAGAGGGGTTGGCACTAGAGGGGAGGCCCCAGAGTTTGGAATAAGCTAGAGGAACTCACTGAGAAAAGGAACTCACTGAGAATAAGCTAGAGGAACTCACTGAGAAAAGGAACTCACTGAGAATAAGCTAGAGGAACTCACTGAGAAACTGCCCAAAGTAGGACTGGGATGTAAACTCATTGCCAGATTTAGGATGAATGACAGCATTAAGGACAATCCTATGATTCTTCTTTGAAATAGGTCAAGAGAATCCTGTGGGGAGAGTTCTAATACAAAAGCCCTCTCAGGAGAACTGTTTCACTATCCTTCTCCTTCCCATAAAAGGAGAACAAATCTGAGAAGCTGAGAAGAAAGGAAAGAAGAAAGCCCAGACAGAATCAACACGTTCTGTGGTGCTGCGCATTGTTGGACAAAGGGGTCAGAGAGAACAGATCACTCCCCAGGCAAGACAAGTGAGGGCACTCCCTTTGCTGAATGTCCCAGTTGTTAATAACTGAGGTCGCCTTGGGTTCTACCCCCAGACACAGGGAGGGCGAGATGGGCTCACGGATGATCTCTGCTGGGACTTGCAGGCTGGCAGTTCAATACTTCGGAAAAGATGCACAAATGCTGCACCCCCAAGGACCCATTAGAATGTGTGTGGGGCAGGAGCTGTCCAATAGAGTCACAGAGAGCAATACAAGCACCGGTTCATGCAGCGGCTGGTGATGCCCAGAACAGGTTCACCAGCATGGAGCACCATGGATAGCTCCTGTAAAGCTCAAAGGAAAAGCAGACATGGAAGAGGAGCCCCATGGACATAGAAGTCACCAGCCATTGCTTCTATGTTCTAATTTGTATGGCATGGTAGCTATGCTTATGTATCCCCGGCCAATGCATGTGGCAGTGCTGGCATCATGCTCGGAATACCACATTTATTTATTTATTTATTTATTTATTTATTTATTTATTTATTTATTTATTTAGAGAATTTCTAGGCCGCCCCATTCGCCGAAGCCACATCAGGCCATTGCTTCATCTAGGTTGGTACTGAGCTTTTCTGCAAGAGCATTTTTTGTGTACTCTTCTACAGCTCACAGTTGTTTACAACATGGTGACTGTCCAGCGGTTTTAGAACATGGGCAATACAGTATTATTTCTAGAAGGGAAAAAAGGCTTTTTTCACGAGTGTAATTGCACTATTTTGCTACACCACAGTGCCACCTAGAGGTCACGTAGCAAGAAAGCAGGAAAGGAAACAGTCTTCACATGGTGTGCGGACAGTCTTTTCATCCACACTGCCTGGCAGCAAAGGTTCTCTAGGGATTTAGAAGGACCATTTCCCAGCCTGTCTGTGGGTGCCACGGATTGCCAGTAACACACAGAGCATGGGAATATGCATAATCAAATGCAAATGTCTACAGATTAACTGTGTTAAAGCCATAGAAGCAATGGCAGGGACGAGGATGGCAGTTGTAGTTTTCATCCATCCCTGAAGTGCCATCAGCAGGCAGAACTTTGGGGTGGACATCCACAAAATGAACTCCGCTGAATGAGCAGTGGGGCTACTCATGTTGCTGTAAGGATGGGATGGAAAGGAAGAAGCCCACGTTTGCTGCCCTGGTTCCTCACAAGAGGGAAAAGGCTAGGATAAATGGAAGGGAACCAGAACAAAAGCACCGATGCCTCTTTAGACAAACCACAGGCACACACTGAGACTTCAGTCCGATGGTCCATGCCCTCATGGCATATGGTTCTTGCACTTGGAGGCTTCCATGCAGCCTAAGCCCAGAATGAGGCACAGTGGCCATCTAGATAAAGCATGGGGGAGGGTTGGGGAGCCTGGGGTGCCAAATGGAGTTGGTGCAAGTCCATGGCACCAGCCTAACCCTAGCCTCCCCTCCCCCAGCCTGCCCTTCTTCCTCCCTCCCAAGGACCAGTTGTGGTCCTGGTGGAAGGGGACCTCCACCTTAGCAGCAGATCCCTTGCAGACTGAAAAGGCTGTCCTCTGAATTTGGCTTCTGCCGTCTCACTCTCGATCCCAGTCGGATTCCCACAACATGATGTGGCCACCCCCATGCTTTGCCATGGGGAGGTGTCCTCGGGGCAATGAGTAATGTTGGCTTTGTGCCACACAGAGCAGTTGGAGCAAGGCCAAAAAGTTCATTTTTGGTCTCACCATAATAGAACATGCTAGCTTTGCCTCCCACATGCCTTTTGCAAACACCAAATGGCTTTCTTGGCACTGCTCTTCTATGAAGTCCACCTTTGTGGAACATCTGAGTGATCGTTCAGCCACCTATGAGGAAACAGGAGCATTCAGTCCGAGAACATGTGCTTACAGTGTATGACTTCTGGGGGCAGTGGAGGGCCCCGCAAACCACTAGTGCCAGGCTGTTCACGCTCATTTAACTTCTGTGTCACAACAAAATTATTTTGCGCCATCACAGCGTTGAGTGTCTTGTGCACTTCAAGGGATAACAAAGCCAATTAAATCAATTTCAGTTCCAGGTTGTAACACAACAAAATGCGGAAATGTCAAAGGAGGCATATGAATATTTCTGCACAGAACTATATTTAACATTGTTGAAGCTAAAAGACTGAAAAATGCAATGAGCACACTTAAAACACAGTTTCTCATCCTCTTCCCCACCCCTTTGTTACAGAATTGGAGAAGCAACCAAATGCTTGACTTATCACTTCTCTGTAAAGTATTTGGACCTCAAAACCAATCCTTTAAGAGATGATATGACAGTGCTTTTCATCAGATTATCATCTTAATCAGCATAACAAGCCGCAGGGCCAATTAAAAGCACTCTCTGCAAAACTCAGCTGCAATGACTCAATGCGACTTGGCAAGATGAATGTTATGGCTTAGCTGCCAAATGGCATGCAAAATAATCCTATTTCCCAAGGCATTCCTCAGTGGTAGGTAATCTTCTCTTTTCACTTTCACTGGTTTTGTGATAAGGAATTACTATAGCAAATGAGATTCACCCTTATCTTGTGTTCTCATAGCCCGGAGCAGCTTATGCCATGCAAAGTGAATTTAGTTAACCACCCTTTCTAATACTGAAGAATAAAAAGGGAATATTAAGCAGAAAGTGAGACATAATGATATGCAGAAGTAGCAGAGACCCAACTGGAGCATGGGAGCTATAGAAGTGGCTCGGGATGGCCCAAGACATGTTGTTGTCTTAGGAGAAGGGCCATGTGTCCTTCCACTGCATTCCATCCACAGGAGCTGACCATGGTAGCGGACGGATCTTATTTCGGAACTGGGGGTGCATCAGCAAGCTCCACCATGCCTGAGTGCAGCAGGTTAGCCTACTGAGGGTATGGAAGTCTACATGGGGAATGTAGTTTTGGTGTCCAGGAAAGGGAAATGAGCAAGGGGTTCCAAACATTGACCCCGTTCATGACCCTGCACCAGAACATGAGAAGATCCCTGCTGGATTAGACCAAAAGTCCATCAAGTCCAGCTTTCTATTGTATGTGAGGGGTTGCCACACGGAGGTGGGTAGAGGCCTGTCCTCCCCTGCAGAGGAAGGCAGGATGCGCTCCAAGGGAGCAAAGCTCAGGGAACCCAGGTTCCATTTGGATGCCAGGAAGTACTTCCTGACAGTTAGGACCCCGAGAGTATGGAATGGGCTTCCATGGGAGGTCGTTGAGGCCCCATCGGTGAGGGTGTTCAAAGATAGGCTGGACATGCACATGGTGGGCATGTCGTGAGCGGAGCCGGCTGGTGCCGGAGGTCAGACTAGATGACCTGGGAGACCCCTTCTGACTTGCTCTGTTTCTATGTTTCCATTCACACAGTGGCTAATCAGCTGCCCACAGGAAACCCACGAGCAGCACAAGAGTGTAACAGCACCCTCCCACCCATGTTCCCCAGCACCTGGTGCACACAGGCATACTGGCATTGATACTGGAGGTAGCATAGAGCCACTGGGGCTGGCAGCAAGTGACAGCCCTGTTCTCCATGACCTTTAAGCTCTCCAGCTGGTGCCCACAGTTATGTCTTGTGGCATTGAGTTCCATAGTTTCACCATGAACTGAGTGAAGAAGTCCTTCCTTTGATCTCGCCTAAACCTCCCACCAATCAGCTTCATGGGAGGACCCTGGGTTTGAGTGTTGTGGGAGAGGAAGAAATGACTCTCTAGCCACTTTCCTCCACACTATGCACAATTGTCCCTGCCCCGATCTTGTCCCCTCTTACCCTTTTTCCGAAACTAAACAAACCCAGAGGTTGTTAGTGTCACTCATAAGGAAGCTCCGACATCTTGCCCATTTTAGTTGCCCTGTTCTGCATAGGCTTCAATGCACACATGTGTATGCACACACACTCGGGGAAGTGCACAGAACTGTACAAAGCATTCTGAGTGTGGTCACTGCATAGATTTTTATGGGACCCCATGATCTTGGCTCAGTTATAGGAATTTGACTTTTCCAGAGCAGCTGCACCTTGAGTCAAGGTTGCCATCAAGTGGGTCCACCATGGTCAAACAGCTCTTCCTTGGTACCTTCTGCTTGAGGCAACAGCCTTCGGTAGCCTAATGAGAGGACGGCTATGAAGCGGGTGCCACAGCAGGGGAACCACCTCAGCCACTGGAAGGGTTCATGAGCCCATCTCCTGTCCCTACAGTGTGAGGTTCATTGCTCTCCGATGCCCCTATGTAGCTTTGCTCCAGTTGTTCAAGCCCCCACTGCTCTCATGTCAGGCTGCCTTTACAACCAAAACAATGTTCTGTTTCTAGACACTGATGGATCTTCTGAATTAATTTTGGAATCAGACTGGAATCTTCCTTTGCCTTCTGAGTGGGAAAGAAACACCTTGGAGGAAATGATGCCAGAAATGATTTGCAATACATCTAAGCATGACAAGTGGAACCAATTTGAATTCCGTACCAGATTATGAATGCCGGTGAGATCTTGACTTGCAACTGCGATGGGGCGGGACCATCCTCTGATGATGGGATCAGCTCATCAGCTCCTTGCTTCAGAGGGCAGGCTAGATCGATGTGGCTGGTGGTAGCCCCACAGTAGTGTCTTTTAATGGAGTAGCCAGTCCTATGGGACAACTATGCCCTGTTCAGAAGTAAGCAAATCGGGACACAATTCTGAGAATGTTGAGACAAAAGAAGTCTTACTTTTCCCAGCACTGCCCACTAGGCATGCTGGCAGTTGCAGGACATTTTTCTGTCTAAACTGCCTTACGATCACACCTTGAGAGCATCTTTAGAACCCCTCCACCCCTGTCCAGGGTGCTGAACATATCTGGGGGGAAAGTACAGTGCTATTAAGAAAAATATTGAAAAAAAAATATTAAGAGCTGCTTTAAAGTTCAGACTGAAATCAGGAGTGGATGTTTGGGCTGACAGATGCTGAAGCCACCAGTCTCCAGGGCGCCCTGAAATAACTCACCCAACAGAGAAAAGTTCCCTCTGATTTGGTTCCCTCTGCCAAATCCTAAGTGTCACCAGCTCAGCCCCCAGGAAAGTCCCATGTCCACCCCAGTGGACATCCATCCTTGACAAAATGGCCAATTTCACCAGCCCTGTCTGCTCTCTTTATATTTGTAATGTATCTCAAATTTGTTCTTGGGCTAGGAGGATTATCCATATTATTTTGGTCACAGATGACAAATTCCATATGCAAAGATGTAATCCCATCTTTCATTCATGAAAGTTGGAGAGGGGCTGGGTAGAGAAAGCTTTCCAAGAATGCCACATGTCCACAGCAAAAAAAGAGGGAACAGAATGCCTGCCTTCAGATATCTGGTAAAAGCGAGCAGTGGATTTAAAAGACTGGAAGTAAGCAAAGTAGTGTGCTTAATTTCCACACATAAAAAATGAGAGTGAAACACGGAAGGGTTTATGTTTTGGAAAGAACAGTAATACCTCCTATTACGATTGGTGTGTCCATTTAGCAGGACTCTGCTCTAAGTACACTGTTGAGGGGAGACTCAAAGTGGCTGAGTCCCCACTTCAGTTACAAGGTACAAAGTCCATGTCCTGGTATCTCCATGTAGGGCTGGAAAAAATACTGGGCTGCACAGACCAATGGTTTGACTCACTACAAGACTGATTCCGATATGTCCTTGGTCTGGTCCAGCAGGGTGTTTTTTTTTTTTTTTTTTTTTTATTCCCTATGTGCCACATCTCAGACTGCTCCAGATGCTCTCCCAATTTCTGGCTTTCTCAATGTCTGAAGTGGCTTCTTAGAAGGAAGAAAGGGCTACAGGATCAGGGGGCTCCCATGTGACCTTTCTTCCTTTGGCAAAGATTTGTATTAGCTTGAAGGATTGGCCATGATGTTGCCTGGATTAAATGTTATTATCACTTTCACACACTTGCCAACCAAAAGGGCTGACTCGGATGGAAATTTATGAATTCATATTCATTTATTTAAACTAATTTATATTCCACTTTTTTCTGTGAGTGAAATACATAGGGGACTGCCACCCAATTAAAGACATCATAGTTGATTCATCCACTGAGTCAATCTACATATGTTGGCAGATGAAGACAATACTTCCTCTAAAGAAAAGGAAAGGCCAATATTTGATTTAGAACATTTACTAATTTATTCATGCATTGTGTTTTTAGACAACACAAATGTCCAAACTCTCTGGTGGCTCATAATAATTTAAAATAATGTGACCATTCATTGCACAGGAGGCTAAAGACTTCTCCAGACTAAAGACACCACAATTATTTTGGCCTTTCCTACAGGGCCTGTTTTCTATAAGACTATCCATCTTCATTGCCCCGCTAGGAATCCAGTCCAATTTGTCTACATCTGTCTCCAAGTCTACTTTAAGTCCCCTCCTTAAAGTTTTTAACTGCCTACTCAGAAATATATCCCATAGAGTTCAGTGGTGCCTATTCCAAGGCAAACGGGTCTAAACATGGAGCTGAACTTATTTCCTTGAAAGTGGTATCTTTTTTCTTAAATACACTCCGGGCTGCTTCTGAGAAGATGATGCCAAAGCTGTTATTTTTTTGGATATGCTTGCAAGCATGACCAGTGAGAATTTACTGCCTGTTCTCAGTGAATCAAGGGCAGTGATATAACACATCAAATCCAATCACAGTTTGGGACAAATTAATGCACTTTTGCAGTTAAGCATAAGATTTATTAACAACTTATTGGAAGTGCAAAGGAAGCTTTTTAATTTTCTTAAACATGTTGAAAACCTGGTTGGGTGTCTGTGCCTTTATTTTGGGGCTCACCTTCAGCAACAATCCCATAAACCAACCTTCCCAGAGATGAAGCTCCCCAGTGCTACATGCCTTACTCACACTCAGGGTAACATGTGGCTAACAAACTGAGCGAGTTTTAAGTCACCTTCTTTGATCACTGCCTTCTCCTGTGACAAAATGTATTGAATTATGTCTGAAGTGCCCGGCCTTGCCTAATCTTGGAAGCTAAGCAAGTCTGGTTAGAATTGGGATGAGTAACTTGAGTGTATGATTCTATGATTATCATTGTAAACAGCCCAAAATGCTTTGGCTATGGGCAGTACACAAATGTGGTGGTGATGATGATAAATTTGCATCTCTACATTTTTATTGGTTTTAGCCCCATACCATTCACGGATCTGCCATCTCTTCAGATGTGAAGCAGTGCAGAAATACCTGTGTTCATCTATATCCCCTTTCTTGACCTCTGTCTTGGAGATGTGGAAGTGGTCATTTGCTGCAAGCAAGCCTGATGGCGGGGTTTGGTAAGTGTTCCTGCAGTCACACAGTTTTTGCTCATTTAGATCAGAAGAAGAAACTGAATACTTTGTTGGATTTGTTCAAGGTCTAAACAGGAAGGAACAGAAGTGGATGAGATTAGAGCTAGCCAGGACATGGAGGAGGCGCTGCCAGACCATGGGAATGGGAAGGAAATGCAGCCAGTGGGAGGGGCCACTGAGTGGGGGGAGAATTTGAATGGGGCTGCTTGCTTCCTCCTGAGCTGGGTCCCACGACTAGGGGGCAGCAAATGTGGGAAGTGCAGTTGGATGTGAAGAGTGTAGAACGGAGGTGTGCATGCTTTCCCAGGACTCCTCCCCAAGGGTTGGAACTCATAAGGCGAGTTTTGGGGAGTGATCACTAGACTGGGGTCAACTAACCACTTTGTGTATGCTCAAAGACATAGCTGGATGATTTATATGTAGAAACAATATTTATTTATTTATTTATTATTTATTTATAAAATGTCTATCCAAATCTATATTTCCATAGAAAATCTAGATGGTTTACCATAATAAAAACATCAAAACAATTTACAATACTTGATTAAAATAGAATTAAATCAGATATTATATTAAAATCAACAATTAAAATACTGTTTAAATAAAAAGGTCTTCGTCTGGCACTGGAAAAAATAAAGAGTTGGTGCCAGATGAACCTCTCTGAGGAGCATATTCCACAATGAGGCGCCACCACTGAGAAGGCCCTTCTCCTTATAACTGCCCTCCTCACCTCCTTCAAGGAGGGCTCTTGGAGAAGGACCTCCATAGACGATCTTAAGGACCAGGCAGGTGTATATGGAAGGAGGTGTTGCTTTATATAACCAGGCCCTGTAATGTTGTCAACACCTTAAATCATATGTCATTGCCAACACCTTAAATCAGACCTGGACTTCAATTGGTAGCCAGAACAGGCGGTACAGGACCGGCATTATATGGTCACATCTGCTGGTCCCTGTTAGTAGCCTGGCTGCTCTATTTTGTGCCAACTGAAGTATCTGGATCATCTTTAAGGCCAGTCCCATATAAAGCACATTGCAATACTCCAGGTGGGAGGTTACTAGTCTGTGGGTTACTGCAGGTTTGCTCTTGCAAGCCCAGGTAGGAAGGGTTTAGCTTGAAGTCCAGCACTGAGCAGGGGGATTGGACTTGATGGCCTTTTGGCCCTTCCAACTCTTGCATTCCATGTTTCTGTGATACCCATGGAAATCCATTGATTTTGGTTTGTCCTGTCCAGATCTAATCAACCGTGGGAAAATTATGTTAGGAATGCCCCTTCTAAGATGTTGCATGTTGCAAAAATCTGAAAATCATCTAAAAACAAAGTCATAAATGTTTTTCACCCTTCAGAATGACAGCTACATGTACATACAAATATAAATATATGCAGCCTGAAGCAGCTAATTCTTCAGTTAAACATCATATCTTAAACTGTCTGCCATTTCTTTAACCAGGCAACAACCCTGCTAAAGATACTGACCACACATACTGAAGATGCAGAAACTCAGTGGAACAAAAGTGCCGACTCAAATGTGTATCATGCACTTAAGTTTATTCCATGCCTGGCCTTGCTGGGGATAAAAGCGATAAGGCAGCACTCCAAAGTAATATCTAGGCTATGGATTGCAAAGATGTTGAATGTTCTCTAGTTACGTGGCGGCAGTTTTCCTGGCTGGCTTACAGGAAGTCATTTGTTTTCATAGTCATTAGCATGACTTGACAAGAACATAACTGTAAAGTTTAAATAATCCACAGTTTAGATCTTGTTTAACAGTATTTACCTGGGAAGTGTTGGACTCAATAATATTTAACTTTTATTTTATTTATTTATTTGTTATTTATTTAGTAAACTTCTATGCTGCCCCATTCGCCAAAGCCTCGGGGCGGCTCACAGACATAAATAAACTTCGTTAAAATAATATAAATTAACAGTATAAATTAAGTCGCCCTGGCCAAAGAATAAAAAAAATAAATACTATTAACAGTTAAAATGAAATTTGAATAAAAGGGTCTTTGCCTGGCGCTGAAAAACAAATAACGACGGTGCCAGGTGGACCTCTCTGGGGAGTGCATTCCATAGATTGGGCGCCACCGCAGAGAAAGCCCTCCTCCGAGTACCCACCCTCCTAATTTCCTTCACGGAGGGTTCCCAGAGAAGGGCCTTTCCCGCAGATCTCAGGGGGTGGGCGGGCATATATGGATGTAAGCACTCCTTCAGGTAACTTGTGTGGTTGTCACTAGTCTATTAATATCCATCCATTTTGGACAGGTATTTGGCCCTTCTAGTGAAAGAACCACAAAGAAAAAATATATCTCTGTAGTTCTTTAGAGAGTTAAAAATGAGCCA